AGCCCTCACGGTCCCACTACGACGACCTAATTAGTCCCTGCGCACGAGCCAAACTCACCACTCAATCTTTTCACGTCCTCTCGGGCTCGTCCCCGAGTTTGCGTCTCAATCCATCATTAGTCTCGACCATTGGGCATCAGTTATTGGATGAATTGTATGCAGATGTCTGTAAGCAAACGGTCACGTATTGCAATATTCGGGCCTTTCCTTGCAGATGAAAAGGAGGCAGTTCTAGATGTCACGTGAATAATTAAAGGCGGACTTTTATGTTGTTAAAAGGGGGGAAAGGCCATGGAACACATGGTAACACGGTGGACATCGTCACAGAAGCAAGATCTGTCTGCAGAACTTTTAAACTACAAACATCAAGTCTTCTAATGTTTACTCTTACAATATTTCGTTCAAACGGGGAGACAACCCAATTTGAGTAATTATATATAGATATTAAATTATGACGAAGATGGCAATGACTGCCACTGGTTAGCATTGAAGGTGATTCGTTGTTCCGCCACGATTTTGCGTTGAGCTCTGCCTCGCCTGGTATGCAGGGTGTCCTGGGCCTGCTGTATATTTTGAGTTTGCATGTTCTCTTTGCGAGCGTGTAGATTTTCCTCCGGGGTTTTTCGCTCCACGTTCATAATCCAAATGCGTTGAGAGTATTTGGCTGCTGTAAATTGCCACGTGATGAACAAGCCACTTGGCTGAGCCATAGTTCGTGATCGCCAGGTCGCTTCTGAAAAATAGTTACATAGCTCAGTGGGCCTTACCTGGTAAAATACTAATAAAACAGTTGTTTAATAGTTGTCTTGACACAAATGTCTTGACGATTTAAGAGAAACATAATCAACGTTTTTGGGTTTAGATCGCGTTATTTATAAATGTGTCGTAACCCTCCACCACCCGACACGGCCAATCAGTAAAAAAGTGTCACGTTGACAAAAGACAAATAGTTCACTGCTTTAGCCCACCGGTGTGTTGAAGCGTGAAACCACAACATTTACAATTTGAGTACGACGTTTCGCTTTGTGGTTTCACGCTTCAACACACCAATGGGCTAAAGCAGTGAACTATTTGTATTTTGTCAACGTGACACTTTTTTACTGATTGGCCGTGTCGGTGGTGGTGGAGGGTTACGACACATTTATAAATAACGCGATCTAAACCCAAAAACGTTGATTATGAATAATATTGGTCGCGAAAGCCTACGTGTTAAAGATTTAAGAGATTGTTGCCAGAAAGATATGCGCACTACTTATTGGCACAAGACGGAGGAAAGTGGACACCTACGGGGCTATATGCCCATGCATCGTGATGATGATGATGAATCGTTTAGTTTAAATCTGCTTTTCCTTTCCCGTGGCCGGAGGTGAAGGCCGCTTTTTTGAGTCCACGGTGCCACAGGTCACGACCCCATTCACGGGTGGCATGGAGTCACAGTCGCTCTCACGACGTGGCCGCCCTGTCGTGATCCACACAGCGCCCCGCTGTCTTCGCTCATCACGCCACGGCAAGTTCACGCTCCCAGAGACAAAGCCCCCCCCCCCCCCCAACGTTGCCCTGCATAGCCCCGTCGTGGCTTTCTCTATTGGAGACGTCAGGTGTCAACCGACGCGTTCCGTGATGCTCTGGGGGACAGCGCAGAGACTCAAAAGCGTCACGGCGCGAAGCGAACTGCGGCTGCTGCTGGAGACGGGGCGGCGATGGCGTTGATGGATGTCGGGGGGAAGGCGCGCGGATGGGGGGTGGTGGTGGTTCGTCCGTTCTTGCAACGTCTCTCTAAACGCCACGTTGTTCATACACGACAAACTCTGCTTGGTGGGCCATGTGCGACACAGCCGGATTTGCTCCTTTAGCAATAATCGTGTGTGTGGGGGGGGGGGTGCCGAGTTTCGACATGAACTGTGGAGAGAGCGGTGCGGACAGTCTGGTTTCACACAAACAAAAACCCAGCAGACGACGCAGATGTGACACCCGCCCGCCCCGGCAAACAATAACGCGGGCTCGAGTGAAGCACAGTCAACGAATGGATGCTACGTGATTATTATTTATTTATTATTTTAAAATGCATTTAAGTATAATTTTCAATAAGATAACGAAGCGGGGGTTTCCTCCCCCCCCCCACCCACCCCGACCCATTCGGGGCAGTTTTAAAGTGCGTTCGTAGAATGTTTAAGAGGCGAATGTGGATCGCTATGGTGATCGCACAAACAAACGCGTCTGTGCCGTGGCGGCTTCACGGCCACAATTTACGAGACTGTTATATTTTGGTTGTTGTTGTTGTGCAGAGAATGGGGGAGGATGGTGGGCGGGGGGGGGAAGAGTAGGAGGCGATTGATGCGGTCAGTCCACGGTGGTGATGATAATTATAATTACTATGTAACAAAATAAAATATATTTTTTGGGTTCCTGGGTAGTGTTATTTTCTAATTGCGTATGCCTGAAAAGTGCAGAAAATGGTTATTAATCCCCACAAACTTTTCTTTTGTGACCAGGACAGTGATATTTGAAATGTACATATTTTCAATGAGAAAACGTGGTGTGCATTCGTGTCATTCCTTCACAAAAAGTCCTGGTCACAAAATAATATAAATTTTCTGAACTTTTGAGGCTTTCCCACCTGAAGACGGACGCTTGTGTTGCGCCCGAAACGTCGTGATTTTTTATTTCATACCTACGTGACTTTACCGAAAGAACCAAAGAGTTTCGAAAATAACACTTACTACCCAGGAACAAAAAAAAATCTATAATTATCCATCAAGACGTGCGCTGATGCTGCTGGGGGGGGGGTAGCGCAGTGCCCGGTCCGGCTGCCACGCGCAGCAGACGGTATAAAATCTACCTCCCCGAGGCGCCCACCCTGCCCAGAGCCCCCCCGCCTCTCTCCCCGTGCCCACCGTTGCAAGCGGAAGCCGACGCTGACGCACGAACCAACTCCGTCTCGTTCCCACACCTGCTGGAGACGCCTCAACTCCCCCTGCTCATCCTTGAAGAAGCAGCAGCAGCAGCAGCAGCGGCGGCGGCGGCTGCGGATTTTCGCTGCCCATCGGACAAAAGGCGGCGGTCACCAGCATCGCGCCGCGCTCTCAGATGCGCTTCAGCGGCCGTCTGGAACGCTCTTCCTTCCGATGTCAGGAAGGCTGCTGGAGCTTTGCACTTTGAAATCATCTTCTAGATCGAAAACTCGTTTCTTGAGAAGCGCTGTTTGTGTTTAGTTTGTTGTTCTTGGCTCCCGCCGCACCTCCGGTTAGCACGGTTGGCTACGTACGGCGCGAAAGAAGTTCAACGTACACGACATGCGTCAACGTGGAGGAATCGTAGAGAAAAGTGAATTTTATTTACGTAACCCAACCAATGTCACTCCACTTATTAACTCTTTTAACCCTCTCCTGATACGCTTTGTCCAACAAACCGTTCGACGACAAGCATTTAGAGTCAGTGGGGTTGATGGTCTACAGCAAGGTTGGCTACGTACGGCGCGAAAGAAGTTCAAGGCGTACGTTCGCGTCTTCAACTTTGCCACCGCAGAAACCCGGTTCAGTCCGGAGCCACGGACAATTTGATGCCTGTGTTCGTAACTTTAGTTTGTAGCTACTTTTTGCCATCATTTGTGCTTACATTAATCGGCACGTGTGTGTGTGTAAGTCGATGTGTGTGTGTGAGTCGCTGTGTGTGTGTACGTCGATATGTGTGTGAGTCGATTGCGCCGGTTAGAAACATTTAGGCTGGCCTGCCTACGATCCATCCTGGATTTAACCAGGCTGGATTGTGTGAGGAGCTCAAAGATCCTTGAAAGATCTGGGCAAAGTCCCATTGGTGAGCTCCTCCGGCAGGCAAGGTTGCGTTGGCTGGGTCATGCCCAGCCACCGCATGCCTAAACAGCTATTGTTCGGCCGGATCGAGGGGGCTAAACGGGCGCGGCACGGGCTAGAGAAGAGATGGAGTGATGTGGTACAGGAGGACGTGGAGCTGAGTGGACTTGCCGATGACTGGTACCAGCGGTGTCAAGATCGGCCTTTGTGGAGGAGGCTCGTGAAGGACGCCACTGGGCAGTTGGAGGCAGTCGCCCTCCAACAACAACGGAGGGCGGAGGAGCGACGCTCACAACAACGAGCGGAGCGCCGGGTGGCTAAAGCACAGCAAGTTGGCACAGTAGGGGGCACAGGTGGTGCATCAGCCAGTCATTTCGGTCATCTCAGTCAGTCGATCCGTGGCACCTGGGTCTGCCCCGTAACCTGCCAGCGGGTGTTCGACACTTCACGTGGCCTCAAAGTGCACATGGCCTGGTACAAGCGTCGTGGTGACGTCACCGCCACTTAGTGGCGAATGGCGGTTATTGTTGTGTGAGTAGATATGTGTGTTTGAGTCCATATGTGTGTGTGTAAGTCGATGTGTTTGTGTGTCTTTTTCGCCCGGTCAACGCCGGCTACTTCCCGCTAGTTGGATATAAATGTCCCGTTGGTGCGAGAACTGTTGGCGACGAAGTGATTAATTCAACCACCTCCTTCCTGCTTTTGTCCCCTTGATTGGATCTCCTGAGCCCTCGCGATGTTGGGATCCTGCCCCATCCTCGCCACAGCGCAAAGAACATTTCTGGGATTGTTTTTCGCCGTACAAGTTCCACTCGAGCGCAAACAAACCGCTGCCATTTCTCGGAATTGTCACCACCGACGGCGATGACATTTGCGCAATTAAAAAGGCAAAACTGAATTCAAGTTTACTGACGCCCTCTGAAGCGTGCGCACTTTTTTCAGAGACACCAGACCCCCCCCTCTCCCCATCCCTGTGCGTCATACTGCCCGGTCGGCTCTTAAAGACAAACTCGCCCTGAGATTTACCGTCTGCCCCACCACCCCACCACCACCCCCGCAACGGCCTCCATCCACCCTGCTCCCTTCCCCATCCATCCATTGCACCCCCACCACCCCCACCACCATCATCATCACATCCTCCTATTTAACTGTGCGGTGGCTCCCCCCTCCTCCCCACAACCACCACCACTGCCGCCCCCTTCACCACCACCACCACCACCACCCCCAAGAGATTCTCCAGGGCGGTGTTTGTCCGCTGAACCTTCTTGCGCCGCCCGTGGCGCGGACGCACTCGAGAGGCAGCAGCGCACCGATCGCGCATCCGGCACGACCGGGACGCGCTCATCCTCCTCCTCATCCTCCTCCTCATCCTCCTCCTCCTCGCGCACAGAAGTCGCATCGAGCGGTACCTCGACGACATCAGCCGGCTCAGCTGTTCCGCCAAGCGTGGAAGAGGCGAGGCGTGCGCTGAAGCTTCAGGTGAGGCGAGAGAGAGAGAGGGAGAGCCGGATTCACCTGCCAGCCGGCCAGCGACACGTGGGCCACTTGCTCCCCGAGTTGCAACGTCACAAAGGGGAAAAGCGAACGTGGTTGTTGAACACGTGGTCGGCTTTCGCGGCCAATATCATCCATAATACAGGGATTTGTTTTTTTGGTTAGATCGCGGACAGATATACGTGTGTGTCGTTAAACCCGCCACCACCCGACACAGCCAATTAGTGAGGTTTGTCACGTGAACCGAACGTGGCCAATTCGTTACTAGTACAGCACACCGGCTGTGTTGGAGAGCAAAGCCTCAACATGTACATTTTTCTACCTACGTGACTTTATCGTCGAATGAACAAAGAGTATAAACATTTACAAAATTATATAATAATTATTATTTTATTATTTCCCTTCTACGTGACTTTACCGAAAGAACCAAGAAGATGAATCCCTGCAGTCACGAAAGCTTTAAATCGAAATTTACAAAATTGTAATTACTCAGATTATATATGCTGTGGCTCGGCTCTTTACAATCTGAATACTCAGATTGTAAATGTTGTGGCTTGGCTCTCCGACACACAACCGGTGTGCCGTGCTCGTAACAAACTGGCACGTTGTTAATACGTGCCAACCCTCACTAATTGGCTGTGTCGGGTGGTGGCGGGGTCTAACGACACACACGTATAGTTTGTACGCGATCTCACGCCGCCGCTGTTGTCACCAAGACCCACGGCGTGGCCTTCACAAGGGAGACTGCGCGCTGGGTGACTTGCTGGGCAATCGCCCTGCTTATTATGTAGCGCGTAACAAAAAAAGTAGAATTAATACGTAACATTTTTAAAAATACATATCGCTTTCGTTCGGGAAAAGTTGCATTTCACAATAGCGTGAAGAAAATAAGTTGCTCGGAGAAAAAAATTGTTTTGAAAAAGAACCATTGCTAAAAAAACGTTACCGATTATATATTTTTTTCTTAAAAGGCGACAGTGTGATTGACAAGTGTGTCGCGTGCTTTCTAAAGTACCACAGCCCAGTGAGATACATACACCTATACTCGCATGTGTTTTTGCATTGCAGTAGTTTTTATTTCCCTACTTGTTTTTCAGTGTTTACCTCGCTGTCATTTTCGTCGCTTTAAACCAATCTGGCCAGATGGTCGAGCGAGCGACACGCAATTGCAAGGGTTGCGAGTTCAAATCCTGGTTGGGGGGGATTTGAACTCGCCCGTCATCCTATCGGGGTCGATACAACAGGAACCGCTACGTCGGGAGTAAACAGTGGCTGTCACGGTTAAACTTACTCCCGCCATGGTACTGTGGACTTTCCACCCCTGGTTCAGGGCCGTCAATGTGAGACGAGCAATGCCTCGATGCTATTTTGAGCAGCAAACCTCTTTGACAAGCAAAACAAAATAATCCACTCCCTCCTATTTGTATCATCAGCGTACATTTATCAATAATTTTTAGTCGTTTCTCGAAGCGGCAGCCTTGTGATGCGACACGAGACATCGTTCTCTTACTTTGGCCACCACTGCCACATCACGAGCCTTCGAACAGCCGAAACTCATTCCCTCGTCGTCACGATGTTCTCCGCACCGCCTCACCTCGTGCATCTTTCCTGCCAAAAACAAACAAGAAAACGAAGAGAGCCCGAAGCAGAAGACTGGCGCTGGATTACAGACGGCCGCATTTGCGAATGCGATTTGTCACTTTGATCCTTAGCTGCTGTGGATCGATAGTCCACTGTTCATGTGCCGTTGCGTTGAGGGACTACTGGCTGTGTGGCGTTATCTTGCTGTGATCTGGGGTTGTTGTTGTTGTTGCTGCCTTGCCCAAGTTTGATAAATCGGACTCATAATTAATGATGTATTTATATTGGATTGCTTTCCCACCTTTTCCTCTATTTTGTTGTTGTATTGTTGTTGTTGTATTGTTGTTGTATTGTTGCTGTTGTATTGTTGTTGTATTGTTGTTGTTGTATTGTTGTTGTTGTATTGTTGTTGTATTGTTGTTGTTGTATTGTTGTTGTATTGTTGTTGTATTGTTGTTGTTGTATTGTTTGCTGTAACTTCGCTGAGTCCGCGCCCACCCCACACTGAACATTTGTGAAAAATAGCTTCACAGCTCATCGGATTCCCCCTCCTGCAGTCCAAATCAACGATCCCGACTCCGTGATCACTCAGACGTGATCACTAAAACTTGATCACTCAAACGTGATCACTCAAACGTGATCACTCAAACGCGCCATATACTCTACACTGATCACTCGAACGTGATCGCTGATTACTCGAACTTGATCACTAAAACTTGATCACTCAATCGTGATCATTCGAAAGTGATCACTCAAACTCGCGCGCGCGCCCTTTTCTGTTCCGTGCATTCCCCGTTGCCCCGCGGTTTCATCCCCCACGCGGCACCGACCCACGCTCCTTCCTGTACCCCCCCCCACCCCCTTTGTCGTCGTCCGGCGTTCCATTCTCGCCGGCAATGTTCTCGCTTCTAATCGACGCGTCGCTTCGCTTTGTAACACGCAACGATTTTTTAAAAAACGTCCCTGTTGAAGCTCATTGTTTTTTTTAATTATCAAGTTTAGTTTTGAAAAAGCGCTGCCAACCTGCTTTCATCTGCCTCTTTGTTTGTGTCCACATCGTTGTGATTTTGATTCGCGTTCAAGAATTGGCCGCGGTTAACGTAATGAGAAATGTTTTTCCATGTGTGTCCCTCTGGCAACAGATATGTTTTTTTTATGTATTCAGTAAACTTGCTCGACATAGTTTTTCGACCAGTTGTTGCGACAAAATGAGCGGAGCTTCTGACTATAAATTTTTTACAAAGGCATGAAACGCCTCGATCATTCTCTCTTATCAGAAATGGCTTTAAACAAACTTACGTCAAATTCCAAACCCATTCGCCTCTTATGTAAGCTTATAGAATACATTATAAGCGAAAATAATTCATAGTGGAATAACGCGAGCAAGCTGTGTTTCGGCAATTTATAGTTTTTTTAATGCCATATACCACGTACTATCAATCACATTCTAGAAAAGAATAATGAATATCAAATACTATTATACCCCGCCTTTGTATACTATGAAAAGGCTTTTGACTCAGTAGGGAATCAATGCAGTCATGCAAGCGCTCACAAACCGAGATCTAAAGTATATAATGTATCTAAATTTTAAACAAACAAAAGACATTTACTACAAAGCTGGACTAAGACTGCATGAAGAAAGTAAGAATCCATAATCGAAGTTTGTTTGGGTGAGATCGCGTAAATATAAATGTGTCGTTAAACCCGACAACACCGACACTGACAATTAGTAAACACAACATGCCAATTTATTACGAGTAATTATAATTTTGTGAATGTTTATACTCTTTGGATCGTTCGGTAAAGTCATGAAGGTAGAAGAAATGTACTCTTAAGTTTTTCGGTATAGTCACGTAGGTAAAAAATTAAAATTAATAAAAGTAAAATAAAATAAAAATCACGACGTTTCGGAGGCAACACAAGCTTCCGTCTTCAGGTGGAACCGTCACAGCCACGACAGCTATATCAAGTAAATGAGAGATTACAAGAGCTACCACTCTGTATATATAATGGTTGAAGAGGGGAAGGGCCAAGTAATTTTTTACCTACGTGACTATACCGAAAAACTTAAGTGTATGAATCCTTGCAGTCACGAAAGCTTCAAATCTAGAAAGAATAGAAGAAATGTCAATGTTGTGGCTTTGCTCTCCAACACAGCCGTGTGCTGTACTAGTAACGAATTGGCCACGTTCTGTTTACGTGACAACCCTTACTAATTGGCTGTGGTGGGCATAACGACACATTCATATTTACGCGATCAAACCCAAAAACACCCGACACAGCCAATTAGTAAGGTTTGTCACGTAAACAAAACGCGCCAATTAGTTACTACTTCAGCACCCCGGTGTGTTGGAGAGTAAACCCACAACGTTTACGACGTTTCTCTGGTGATTACAGCTGGCTTCATCAGGCGATTGGCGACAATTGTGAAGAAGTCCCTCCTGTCTCGGTCTTTAAACGGAGTTAGTTCTCGCCAGAGGTCGCAAACGGGTTTTGATTCCTTACCCGTACCCGTACCCGGCCGCACCAGGGTCGCAAACGGGTACCCGTACCCGGCCGTACCCTACCCGTACCCGGCCGGGTACGGGTAGGGTACGGCTATCGAGTACCTGATTGCGACCTTTGGGATGAAGCCATGTTGCAGGCGCGGGTGGGTTGATTCTAGGAACTTGAATTGTGAGAAGAAACAAAAAACGTTGGGAAATGAGTGACAAACAGTTACTCACCAGTGACTCACGTACCCGGCCGCACCAGGGTCGCAAACGAGTACCCGTACCCGGGTACGGGTAGCCGGGTATCGGGTAGGGTACGGGTATCAGGTACCCGGTTGCGACCTCTGGTTCTCGCTCACGAGCAACAACTCCTTCACCATTGCCCCTGTTGTCCCTCTCTCTATCTCTCTCCCTCGCCAGCCCTGTCCGTGCGTAGAAGCCGCAGGGCGCCATGCCCCACCACGCGCCCCACCGCACGCTGCTTCTGTGCGCCCTGGCTCTGCTGGGGGGGTGGCTCTCGCTCGCCACAGCCGGTAAGGGCAGCAGCGTCCACGACACCCCCACACCCCCTGCTGCTGCTGCTGCTGCCGAAGAGGTTCAGATGAATTGAAAACCGGTCCAGAGTTGTCCCCATGTCTAGTAAAACATTTTTTTTTTAATGATGGCCCACTCGCGCGTGGGAACAGGTCACAGGCAGCTGGAAAGCGTCGCTACAGAAGGCACCGAGGTTGATGGATCGTAGCACCACTAAATTTCGATTTAAAGCTTTCGTGACTGCAGGGATTCATCTTCTTGGTTCTTTCGGTAAAGTCACGTAGAAGGGAAATAATAAAATAATAAAAATAAAACATGATGAAATACAATTCTCACGACGTTTCGGCCACAACGCAAGCAGCCGTCCTCAGGTGAAGAACAGGTCTGTCGGAAAGACAGTGTCTGAATGAACACCACCAAGCTTGGCAGCGTATATTTAAGCTGGGTTAGGGGAGGAAGGGCGCCTTGACAAAGCATAATATGACTTTGACCCCCCCTCTCCTACGCATTCCACAAGTAGTGACTAATCCCATATCTGCATTTCCCATAAATATGCTAAATTCCTCTGTTGATATGCAAATTCATTTGTCAAGGCGCTCTTCCTCCCCTAACCCAGCTTAAATATACGCTGTCAAGCTTGGTGGTGTTTCATTCAGACGCTGTCTTTCCGACAGACCTGTTCTTCACCTGAGGACGGCTGCTTGTGTTGTGGCCGAAACGTCGTGACCATTGTATTTCATAATGTTTCATTTTTATTATTTTATTATTTCCCTTCTACGTGACTTTACCGAAAGAACCAAGAAGACGTAGCACCACTGTTTTGCGTTTTACCGTGGTGGAATGCCTCTTTCACGCCGCTTCGCTGTTGGGAGTTCTTTGACCATACTTCACCACGCTGGTTTTAGTGCGGGTTGGTGAAGGGTGCTCCCAACGCCGTTTCAGACACGACTCGCCACTGACGGTAGCCGTGGCCGACAATTTAGCTCTAGTCGCCGGGGTTCGTAGCACAGTGTGCTAACCACTGCGCCACCGCTCCCCCCTCCCCCTTTACCTGTTTATACTGCCTGTATTGCTCACAGCTGACCGCGTCGGTGGGCAATGAATTATGCACAACTCCTGCAGGTGGCTTTAACGACACAGCGCACTGGTCGTGCCGTGTTAGGGGCTCGCAGGGAAGCGAGTGCAATGAGCTCCTCTCAATGTGCCATGCAGGGGGACAGAGGAATCGACTTCTCTGTGTTTGTGCCTCGGAACGTAACCTCATGCGAGACTTGAATATATTGCATCGAGATTCACCCAAGCGAGTACACGGAATGAACCACGCGCACACCCAGAGACTATGGCCAAGATGGAACACTTTATTTGACGCCACTCGAAAGAGTGCAAGTCACAAAACGAGTCCACAAGAACAACTTAGATCGATGACAAACCGCGTGCGGCGAGGGGCAGTATTGATGCTTAAATCATCATCATCATCAGCAGCTGCTGTGCTCGGCTTCTCTAGCAGACGACGCTCTGAGCAGGCGAGCGACGATGCATGGTCTGCTCTTCACCGCAGGTGCGGTTTGTGTTCCGGGCCTGGCCTTTGCTGAATTGAATAGACTTAGCGCAGTGATCCGTCGTCGGCAGTGGAGCAGAAGGAAGATTTAATCCTGGATTAGAACAGGAGTTGGAGTCGGCCACGCCGACAGCCAGTGGAGTGGAGTTGCGTACAATGGGAGCAGCTATAGAGAAGAAGCGAGACCTCCCGTTGAGCAGCGGGTGACTGTGGGGGTTTGACAGCATGCCTTGTTTGCTGGAGCAGAGGGCACAGGGGGAAGGGAGTAGGGTGAGATGTGATGTGAGGAGGTGGTAGGGCGAGATCGTGGATGATGATGATGATGATAATGAAGGGGGACTTGTAGCTCAGAATCAGAATTTGTTTTTATCCTGGAGGAATCCCATCAGATATACGCCTCTTTTTCAAATATATCCAGTAGGTAAAACTAAATTATTGAACTAAACTTTCACTTTTATTTTACCAGGTAAGGCCCACTGAGCTATGTAGCTCTTTTTCAGAGGCGACCAGGCCACAAATGATAGCTCAACCAAGTGGCTTATCACGTGGAAGGAAAAACCCGGAGGACCCGGAGAAAAATCCTCACGACCACGTGGAGAGAACATGCAAACTCCAATTATACAGCCACCAGGGGTCGAGATCGAACCCGTGGACCTCCTGTATACCAGGCGAGGCAGATAACAGCTCGTGTGATCGGTGAGCATGGCTCCTGTTACTTCTGCCCCAACCAAATCCTCGTGCCAGCACCAATTGCGGATTCGTGTCGTGTCCGTCTTTGACTGTCACAAAACGCGAACTGCCGTTTCACACGTTATTCAGGTGAGTTAAATTCGATGCGAACGATTGGGAACAATTACGCAAACGAGACTGATGTTTCACTGCTCCGCCGTCGTTTAATTTGAGCTGCTTACGGCTCACATTTACGACGGTATATTGCAACCCTTTGAAACTCTAAACTGTGTTCACAGGCCAATCAACATGGGCGCCACGGTGGCGAGATGTTAACTACCTCGCCTGGTATACAAGGCGTCTGTTGTATATTTGGAGTTCGCATGTTGGGTTGTAGTTGTGCTTTTGGCAAGGCACTGAAGACCTTAACTACTCTGGGTTTTGATTGCTGGATAGTGACGCACAAAGTCAGTGGCGGATTGCTAATCCGAACATGACCTGGCCTCCCCTCTAGGTTAACTCAGCCTAAACAAGTGTCATTACGAGGCTCGACGTCGGGTGTGTTGTATCTATGCCCCGTTTTCCAAAAATTTATATTAAGAATAATTAGGTCAAGATTTATATATATAGATTTTTTAAATTAAATAATGAAAGCAACCCACTACTCGCCACATTCCACGACATGCATCTGGGAAACGTGGAATGCCATCAAATATATAATTACGCACATTAGCATAATGTATGCGAACTACGCATTTTTCGAAATTTCATTAATTTTTATTATTTTTACCAAAATTTCATAATCCGGCATATACAACAGCTGGATGACGCTTCTCGGGGGTTGGTTGCTGGTCACGCTGGGCTCGCGCAGAAGTTCGCCAACAGAGGCACATTGATCGGCCGATCTCTGCGTCTCATCGGGGATGTGGGTGGCCTTTTCGTTGTTGTCTTTTTGCTCGTAGTAGTCTTGAGCGTGCGTCTGCTGTGCTCCACCTTCAGACATCAACGAGACGGTCATTTGCACCAAGGACTACATGGAGGTATCCATCCCAAGGTCGTATTTCACCAACCGGAATGCGCCTGTGCAGGTAAGTCGTTGTCAAGGTGTGTGGTTGTTGTTGTTGTGATCTTGCAGCATACCTGTCAACCCAAACGGTTTACTCCGTATTCTTGTCGAGAGAAATTGAGTTTTCAGGTCCATACGGCGTGCAGCCGTTTCCATACGGGCAACAAATACAATGTTTTGTCTATGTGTTTGTGTTGCTCCCTTGTGATGGGACTTTGCTAGGATGAACGTTGAGATATATAAGGGGCACTGGGTGACGAATACGGTCTGAATTTGTCTAATAGGTAGGGCACTAAATTATAGATTTAAAGCTTTCGTGACTGCAGGGATTCATATTCCTTGTTCTTTCAGTAAAGTCACAGTAGAAGGGAAATAAGAAAGTAAAAGAAATATGAATATATTTATTATTATTTTATTTCATTATAATATAAATATTTATATTATTTTATTATATCCCTTCTACGTGACTTTACCGAAAGAACCAAGAATATAAGGTCGGCACTGATAAGGAGTTGACAGGCTTGTTGCAGTAACCTTCATCAGGCCATATACAGCTCAATTGCAAATTAGCAACATTGTCCATAAGCTCTGGTAAGGCTGGTGATAAAATAATTGTGCCTAACACTGGCGAATGAATAGCATATATAAACACACTGTAAGAACGGAGGACAAGATAGGCACTCACATGGCTGTGAAGAGTAGAAACAGCCAAACAGATGGGCAGTAACCCCCCTTGGTATATCCATATATCTGCCTTCACGTAGAAAAAAAATCAACATTTTGATAAGAACCCATCGGCTCACGGCCTTCTGGGTGTGCATCTTTTTAAATCCTTTATATTAAGTTCACTCGCTTGCTTGCTTACAACCGTGCAAATCTTTCGGTCGTTTTTTTAACCCACTTCCCGTGATCCAATCGAGCTGACATTTTGCACACATACTCGTTGTGCATGACAATGTATTTTCGTGAAAAAATTCCAAAATTTTACACTTTTTAGGAAAAAATAAATTATATTTAATTACCAATTGCTTAATGGTGGCAGGCATTCATCTGAGCCATAGGTGGCAGCCATCTCAAGCCAGAGGACGAGATGACTCTAGCCGCCACGCATATAAAGGATTTATAGTGAAAAACTTTGTTTTTACGGGTTAATTTATTTCAAAATAAAACTGTGCACCGCTTTCGACATCGAGGGCGATATTGGCGCATACAATAAAGATCGATTGATCGATTGACAGAGAGTGTCTCATCGAGTGCTGGAGAACTAACTGCCTTACGTTTACAGGCCAGGGACCCTGTCGTTTAAGGTTATGGTTCATGATGCAGAATTCCAAAACCTCTATCCTCGTGACTCATCACGCTGCGTCGTTCCGCCTTTATTAATGTACTCTCCATTACAATGTTTTGCTCGTTTCACGCTCCACGCGCCGGATAATTGTTAAACACGTCCCACGTGACACGCTAAGCAATTCACGCTAATTCAAAATAAGTTTGAGATCAGTTTAACACGGAGGCTTTCGCGACCAGTATTATTCGTAAAAATGTTTTTTGGGTTTGATCGCGTTATTATAAATGTGTCGCAACCCTCCACCACCCGACACGGCCAATCAGTAACAAATGTGTCACGTTAACAGAACGCCAATTAGTTACTTCTTCAGCCCACCGGTGTGTTTGAAGAGTGAATCCACAACATTTGGAGATCTCGGTGCGCGCGCGCGCGTGCACACGTGTTCGTGCGTAACGCGGGCAGCGTGAAGTCGCTGAGCGAGTCACGTGGGGCGTGTTTCACGATAATCGGGTGTGTGCAGCGCGGAAACGAGCTAATTGATTTTTTGATGGGGAGTAAATTGGTAGTCGCGGAGAGAGTCGTCGGAGCGTGGTGGCGGGCCGTGTGGACTGATATTTGGGAAACCCTGGAGGCTGTATGCGCTCTATGTGTATGGTTTGTGTATTAAATTTGTAGCTCTTTTTTTTGTTACGATTGTTCGGAAAACTTATCTAAGACCGCTCGACTATGAAAAATAAAAATAGGGTTTTTACCCTTTCTGTAAATAAAACGGGTGTTAAGATGGTCAAACACCACATAGATGCATTTTTGTAAGGAATCAAGTCTGCATTAACCACACACTGCACTTGGGCTGAACATGCAAACACACATGCTCTGATTGTTTTTGCATCGTCTTTCAAACTGATTGGCCTACACCAGAGACGACCTTCTAAAAACTTGATTCCTTGCAAGAGGTATCTAATTGGTGTTTGAACATCTTAACACCTGCTTTATTGCCAGTAAGGGTACATCCTATTCTTAATTTTCATACTTTGATAGTGCCAAAAAGGTCCCATGGTACTGCTTGATTAATTTCAAATCATGAGGAGTCATTAGAAAAACAATATATGTAGTTTTGTGTAAATAAGGTGAACATGTACCTAAAAATACTTTAAACCTGACAATTGGACTAATTTGGCATATTGGTCCTGGTTAAGGCAATTACAATTTCAAAGCCCCCACCCGTTTCAAAATCGTGCAATGGGGTGATGAGACAGAGCCGTTCCCATGGTATAGCGAATCGGGGTGTTAGCCCCGGGCCCCGCGCTTTGGGGGGCAACCCGCGATTCTCCGTCACGGTGTCAGATGTAATACTGCCGATTTAGTTTGAACGATTTTCCCCAGGTACCAGCACCACCTCCGACCTAGGGAAGGTCCTGCCTATGACACTCACAACGTTGTCGGTTACAAAACAACATTTACACAATCCGTTTCTTAGTGACGTATTGTTTTTTTCTTATTGAAAACACTCTCTTGCCGTTGAATGTAAATGGGGCATTCCCAGTAGCGTCTGAATATTGCACTCAATCAGCCTGACGGGCGGTCGTGACCTGTCGCGTTCAAGGAAGGCTTCTCGTGTCTGGGTGGTCCAGGACATTATGCTGATGTCATCATCAGCCAACGCGTCTCAGATGCTGGGCTTCAGTGCCTGGAACAAACAGACTCGTGGCATACAAAAAGCCATTAACAGGGAACATTGTGGAGGTGACTGGGCGGCTCAATGAGGGGGGCTGATACTGAATCAGAATATTTGTTTATACTGGAGGAATCCGATGAACTATAAAGTGCTTTTTCACAGATGCGGCGCCAGCACTGTTGAGATCATGGGTTGGAATCCTGGTTTTTAGCCGCGTTGCAGCGTTCTTACCCGCTGCGCCTACTGGACATCTGTGAAAAACGAGCTTTATAGCCCATCGGATTCCTCCAGTATAAACAAATATTCAGGATGGATCGAACCAGGTTGTCGAGTGTGGCGAGTTCACGATCTCAGGCCTGAACGTGCAGTTGACTGTAAATATGACAGGTTGGTTTGCCGTGCACGTCATGGGATGCTCTTCTTCAAACGTAGAATTTTTTTTTAATGTGCCAACGCGTTATGAATAAGTGGCGACATCCGCTGGGTTCAACTGGGCCTCCCGGAGTGTGGCACGTGAACGGGCACAGTTGTGCGGTCACAAACGACCGCACGGCAAAATCGCTGTCGCGTTACGTTTGGTCTGTCGCTCGCAACAAAAAATACCCGGCACACTCCAGTTCTGACCGCTAAAAGATGTTTCATTCGATTTACCCGTGTGACACACACACAAACACACCCGTAGTAAGGCATTTGAATCGGTGCAACGTCTACAGTGGACACATTTTAGTTTCGGCACACTCCAGTTCTAACCGCTGAAGATGTTCCATTCGATTCGCCGTGTGACACACACCCCCGTAAGTAAGGCATTTGAATAGGCGCACTGTCTAGAGTGGACATGGGGCAATTGACAGGACTACATTATCGCTGCCCATTGTCCAACCTCTGCACGATGAAGGCTTGCCCACGCCATCGTTTTCGTTGGCGAGCCATCCATCTCCATCCTGCACACGAGCCAGCCCCGTCCCTGCCGTGGTCATTCTCTAGGGAACGTTCACCCCCTTTTGGCTGCCCTTCCATCGCCAGTTTCGTCCACTGGTCATCATGCCGTCTAAGGACGGGTCGCTTAAGAGGGCGCCCTTTAACAATGGGTGATTTATCGCTTTCTGCCACAGTTCTGAATGAACGAGAGTCATTTTGCCTCGTCACGTGACACCGATAGAACCGATTGCAATATGATTGCGTAAAGGCCTTCCTTTATCTTCTTGGTTCTTTCGGTAAAGTCACGTAGAATGGAAATTATACAATAAAAAAAATTAAACATAATAAAATAATTCTCAGAGTCTGTCTTCTCGACAGACCTGTTCTCCACCTGAGGACGGCTGCTTGCGTTGTGGCCGAAACGTCGTGAGAATTATTTTATTATGTTTTATTTTTATTATTTTATTATTTCCATTCTACGTGACTTTACCGAAAGAACCAAGAAGACGAATCCCTGCAGTCACGAAAGCTTTAAATCGGCCTTCCTTTAGTTTTTTTTCTTCAAACAAAACCGCATTTCTCGCTATATCTCTGAGAGATTGCGATGTGCGCGCAGCGGCGCACGTTTTAATCAGACGCTGGCAGTTCGAAGAAGAAACCGGTGCCCAGCAAGAGAGACACTACACGTTGGCACAATGAGCCAGCAACACCGTGACTGCCCGCAAGATCCCTGGCAGTTTCGATTTAAAGCTTTCGTGACTGCAGCGATTCATCTTCTTGGTTCTTTCGGTAAAGTCACGTAGAAGGGAAATAATAAAATAATAAAAATAAAACATAATAAAATAATTCTCACGACGTTTCGGCCACAACGCAAGCAGCCGTCCTCAGGTGAAAACCAGGTCTGTCGACGCGACAGCGTCTTCCCCCCCTTCCAACCCAGCTTAAATAGACGCTCCAAGCACGTGTGCTGTTTCATTCAGACGCTGTCGCCTCGACAGACCTGGTTTTCACCTGAGGACGGCTGCTTGCGTTGTGGCCGAAACGTCGTGAGAATTATTTTATTATGTTTTATTTTTATTATTTTATTACTTCCCTTCTACGTGACTTTACCGAAAGAACCAAGAAGATGAATCCCTGGCAGTGTTTTTTTTTATGTATTCCTCCCCCTTCGCTCTTCTTTTTTCTCCACCTCCTCCCCACCACCCACCCCACCACCCACCCCAGATTTACGACCTGCACCTCAACGACCGCTCGTGCCGAGGCACTGAAACGGAAGACGCTTTTGTTTTCCAAGTGAAGACCAACTACTCCAACTGTGGAACCGTCACCGTGAGTGCCCTCCCGTTGGAATGTCTTGAAACCGCATCTCATGTCAGCCCACACGCAGCATTGCCAAACCTCCAGGCCCAGCAATTGTGGGTGACAAAACGTGGCGCATCACATTCATCTGTGTGGCCGCCCTCGATTTTACTCCACTTTATCCGAGGGCAAAAAGGGATGCGGACGATCACGGATAATTGGAAGAATGTGGCAGCGGACGATTGGAGTTTTTTCGCGTTCCTATGGATAATAGGAGCCACGGGTAATAGGGTTGCAGATAGGAGGAGTTCTATGCAATACTTGGCTGGGTGGTGCAGTGGTTTAGAGAGCACGACGCGTCATTGAACAGATTCTCTGGTGATCCTACGTTGGCAGTGGTGCACAAACACAAATACCAACAAAAAAATAAAATCAGCAGGCGCTATGAAGAAGCGACATTGGCCGAAACGTCTCCTGTTGTAAAAATATATGTTTTTCATTTTGGGGCAGTGTTATTGACAACTCATGATTGGAGGATTGCAGGTCTTAATTCAGTCCGGGTGTCCTGTGTTAACCTATGGGTCCAGTGCACTACCTATTGAGCAAGTAAAAACTTATTTCCCACAAATTTGACAAATCATTATGACTCGAGGTGGTGATCGTCACTGAGTGCGATCGATTTAGGCCGCGGTTTGTGAGGGCTGGATGACTGCATCACTGCTGCTCGCTCCTTTCTCCTCTTTGCCTCTCTCCCCTCCCCTCTCATCGTCATCACCTACTCATCATCATCACCCACTCATCATCATCAACCACTCATCATTCCTTCACCTCCCCCCCTCCTCCTCCTCCCCCCCTCCTCCTCCTCCTCCCCCCTCCTCCTCCTCCTCCCCCCTCCTCCTCCTCCCCTTCCTGCCCGGCGCTCCCCCTTTCTCCCTGCAGCTCATCATGAGCTGCGCCCTCCTTGATTGTCGGAGGGCTTCACCATATCCCCTCCCTTTGATGCTGCTAATCCTGCATAATGCACGGGCATAAGTAGTACTAATCACATACCTGCATTTCCCATATCCCCTCCCTTTGATGCTGCTAATCCTGCATAATGCACGGGCATTTAGTAGTACTAATCACATACCTGCATTTCCCATAAATATGCTAAATTCCTCTTGATATGCAAATTCCTTTGTCAAGGCGCTCTCCCCCCTCCAACCTAGCTTAAATATACGCTGCCAAGCCTGGTGGTGTTCATTCAGACGCTGTCTTTCCGACAGACCTGTTCTTCACCTGAGGACGGCTGCTTGCGTTGTGGCCGAAACGTCGTGAGAATTATTTCATTATGTTTTATTTTTAATTATTTTATTATTTCAATTCTACGTGACTTTACCGAAAGAACCAAGAAGAGGCTTCACAATCATTAAGCAAAGTTAAATCTAAAAACTTACTTTAAAAATTAGCTTTTACTTAAGATTATTTTATATATATATTTTGTATATATGCCTTCGCTAGAAATTGATTATAATGCGAATTGAGTTTGTCTGGAAATTTCCTTAATTGTTCTTGCGATTGAGTCTTCTGACAATGTTTTTTCTTTTACCTGGACGACACTTTGCATCTTTTGCACGAAGTAGCGCTATAGAAATAAAGACTTGATAGATTGATTGATCTCGGAGACTTCCATTCCAGCATCCCTTCCTATTCCCCGGCTCATCTTGCCCCTCTTTCTCTAACCCTCTTGCGCCACCAGCTTCTCCCTGTATGTATCGTGGTGCGTATCCATGGGTTGACGGTCGGATTGCTCGCGATGACAACTTCCTTTGCATTCCCGGATATACACATTGATTGTGATGCTCTTCACGATGATCCTCGTTCAACAATTCACGTCCGTGCCGCGAGAATTCTCCGAGGCGTTATTCCTGAGATTGACGCATTTCAATGTCTGTGTTCAAACAAAACACAAGACAAAGATCCCCGGTATAGCCTGAACAGACTGTTGGGGCAAGTGCTGTGAGCGAGCACCTATGGCACACACGAGGGGGTGGGTGGCCAGCACCACGCCCGGCCGCCTTTGTCTCCCCAGTGGTGATGTTTCCACACCGCACCAGGCAGAAATTTAAGGCTGAGTCGACTTAGGGGAGGCCCAGGACCTGTTCAGATAATCGTCACTGGTGTTGGTCCGTTAGCCGGAATCGAACCCGGGTCCGTGGATTTGTAGCACAGCGCACTAACCGCTCCCCTTTCGCGCACACACACGCACACACCCACGCACACACACACGCACACACACACACGCATAAACGCACACCCACGCACACACACGCACACACATTCGCACACACACGCATACACACACATGCACACACACGCACACACACACGCACACACGCACACTCACATACACACGCACGCACGCACACACGCACGCACACACACGCACGCACACACACACGCATACACACACACACACACGCACACACACACACACGCACACACGCACGCATACACACGTACACACACACACGCACGCACACACACGCACGCGCACACTGAGCTCACAGGCGTCGGACGGCAAGCATATCGTGTTCACGAACACGATCCAGAACAAGGTGTCGGGCGTGGTGAGCCGAACGTACGTGAACATCACCTTCTCGTGCCGCTACCCGGTCACGTACCTCGTGCAGTACGCCAACGGGGGCAACGTGGTGCACGTGGACGTGCGGTGAGCAGCACGCGCACGCACACGCACGCGCACGCGCACGCACGCACGCACGCGCACGCACGTGCACGCAAATACAAATATCCCGTGCGACGCCTTTTGTTGTCCTTTCCCCGCACCTCCGATGTTGTTGTCTTACCTGTGCACCCCGATGTTGTTGTCTTACCTGTGCACCTCCGATGTTGTTGTTTTACCTGTGCACCCCGATGTTGTTCTTTTACCTGTGCACCTCCGATGTTGTTGTCTTACCTGTGCACCTCCGATGTTGTTGTCTTACCTGTGCACCTCCGATGTTGTTGTCTTACCTGTGCACCTCCGATGTTGTTGTCCTACCTGTGCACCTCCGATGTGCACGGTTGGCTACGTACGGTGCGAAAGAAGCTCAACATACATTGCATTAACATACTTTTTGGGGCGAGTGCTGTGAGCGAGTAGCAGCACCCTGAAGGCAAGCACGGATCGGCCGCACACGTACACACACAGCCTCTTTATTCTGTTTTAAATCAACATTCTCCAGGTAATTTGGGACGTAAACACACATATGTATGTATGTTAAACTTCTTTCGCACCGTACGTAGCCAAGATAGGTGTCTATCTTCATTTGATGTCCGAGTTTGGGCGTTGCAATAACAAAAAAATTGTACCACATGGCCCCACTCCCTTTCAAATAACGTCACGCGATCTTTAACATCCACCGTGATGCAGGCAGCGCCTTGCTGGTCTCGTCAAGGAGCATAAACCATCATCACGCAAACTCCGGTCATCCTCGCAACAGCTGTTTGTGGCTGGCCATCGAACAAAAATGGGCACCGCATCGCACGCTTTTAGGATGCGCTTCTGCGGCCGCTGCTGGAACGCTCTTCCTTCCGATATTAGGAAGCCACTGGAGCTTTACACTTTTAAATCCACATTGAAAATTACTTTATGTAGAACTGCTGTTTGTGTTTAGTCTGGTTTTCCTTCCCCCTCACCTTTGACTAGCACGGTTGGCTACGTGCAATGCCAAAGAAGTTCAACATACATACATTTACGGTGAATACACCTGCAAGTTCAGCATTGACCAGGGTGGCCATAGGCCTGAACCGTAAACGTCTACAACAATCGTCAAAAGCGCCCACCCACGATGCCGTGTCACCACGACGGCGGAATGACACACGTGTCCCGTCTCTCCCAGCCCCGTGATGCTGGACACGGAGGAGGGCAACTTCTCCATCTCTATGGAGCTGTACCGCGACGGCCTCTTTGAGGAGCGCTGGAACAGCATCCCCATGCTCAGCCTGGAGGAAAGCGTCTACGTGCGCGTGCACATGGTGATTATGACCTGCCGACATCCCATCGCCACGGTCACAAAGGTCGTCATCAATAATCGATTTGTGATTGTTAGATATTCATATTGTTAATGATTATTCATTCATATTGAATGTGTTATTTCTAACGAACGAACATTTTCTTGGTTCTTTCGGTAAAGTCACGTAGAAGGGAAATAATAAAATAATAAAAATAAAACATAATAAAATAATTCTCACGACGTTTCGGCCACAACGCAAGCAGCCGTCCTCAGGCGAAGAACAGGTCTGTCGGAAAGACAGCGTCTGAAATTGAACGAAATTTTTTTTCTTTTACGAGGTAAGGCCCCACTGAGCTATGTAGCTCTTTTTCGAGGAGACCTCGCCACAGATCATAGCTCAACGAAGTGGCTCATCATCATGTGGAAATTTATAGCAGCCAAACACTCTAAACGCATGCTTCTAAATGTGGAGGGGAAAACAAGAGGACATTGAGAAAATCCACGCGACCACGGGGAGAACACGCAAACTTCAAATATACTGGTGTCAGGGTCGGGATCAAACTCACGTCCTCCTGTATACCAGGCGATGTAGTTAACATCTCCTAGCCACCGTGGCGCCCCCCAACTTGTAACGTGCCCCACAGTGTTCGCTCGCTCTCGTAATTAGAGAATGACTCACAGGCGCGAGGAAACAAGACAAGTGGGAAAGTCGTCAGCCACGTGATGAGCTGGTGCCAACTGTTGCCCAAGCTCTGCAATCCTACGTATAATTAAAGATCGTTGACACGTGGGAGGAAACCTGGAGAAACACTCCACCCCATACCCCAAGCAGATGTCATCTTAATGCCTCTGGTTACTCGCGGTGTCTCACCGAGACACAAAAGTCAGCTTTCAGTGGACTTGTTCAACAAACTGAACGTTTACATTAACCAGAGGAGATGCGGTGGCAAGACATTAACCACCTCGCCTGGGATACAGGAGTTTGCGTGTCTCTCTCCCTGTGGTCGTGTAGATTTTTCTCCGGGTCCTCCGGTTTTCCTCTCCACATTTCGAATACATTTCCGCGTGATAGGCCACTTCGTCGAACTATCATTTGTGGCCGCAGTCACTTCTAAAAAAGAGCTACGAAGCTCGGTGGGGCCTTACCTGGTAAAATAAAAAAATAACTGTTTAGTTTATAGTTTACAAGCCCATCTGCCGCTATGAGCAGCCAAAGCCCCCAACGAGTGCTCGCGATCACCATGTGCCGCCCTCTACAGCTGCCGGCGCATCTCATCCTTCGGGTGCAGAGGTGCTGGGCAACCCCTTCTAGTGACCCCTACCACTCGATTCAGCACATCTTCATCCAGGACAGGTAATGGACAATGTGCAGTAACGTGCGATGTCGACTGCTTGTCACTGCAGGCGGGCCTCTTGGCAGCCGGTCAGCACACAAGTTGTTTCTTACAACACATTCCTGCGGAGGGAGCTGGTAGGAACGTTGGGTTGCTCGGTCAATGGGCAGGGTCAGCGTGGTGTATTCCGCAATTATTCCCGACTGTGAGGGCGGGCACAAGCCGGCGTGAGTAGGTTAAACGTTGCGTTTTATAAGGGCACCACGGGGTGACCAGCCCCTCCCCTCCCCACCCAGCCCCACCCCTCCCACCCAGCCCCACCCTCCCCACACAGCGCCTCCCCACCCTCCCCACCCAGCCCCTCCCCACCCTCCCCACCCAGCCCCTCCCCACCCTCCCCTCCCCACCAAGCCCCACCCTCCCCACTCAGCCCCTCCCCACCCAGCCCCTCCCTCCCTCCCCACCCAGCCCCTTCCTGCACGACGGACGGATGGACACAATAATCCCCTGTGGGCTGGTGTAACCAGGAGGTTCCTACCAGTATTATTATTGAAGTGTATTGATGCGGGACCCAGTGGTGGTGCTAGCCCATTACGGACCAATATTTTTGGCCCACCCCCAACCCCTCTGTGAGGTGAGAGAAGAGTTAATAGACGAAACAGCGACGGAGTGAGACGAGAGAAATGTAGACAAAAAGACACCTTCCCAAAAACAAAGATCAGAAAGATGAATTCGCTTTTTCTGTTAATTGACGTGCTACGAATTTCAGTTGCTATTTGACGCACCCTTATTTATTCATTCATAAATCCGAGGACCCTTGAAGCTGCTTGAGCCAAGCTTTCTCTTGGCTCGCTTACGCCTGAGCGCCGCCACTGTGCGTGAACGTTCCACCTGGCCTCCGGTGAGAGAAAGGCTCCCCCCCCCACACCGGCCGTCGGTACACGGTAGCGCTCCAAACGCCACCCTCCTGTGTTCGCCCGTTGCCACTCCCACACGCAGCTGCCCGGCCCTGCTGGCGGACAGCACCCTCACGGTGGTGCGCAACGGGGAGGCGTCGGACGCCCGCTTCCACCTGCAGATGTTCAAGTTTGTTGGCGCGTCCTACCTGGCCGTTTACCTGCACTGCACCGTGCAGATCTGCCACGATGCGGCCATGCAGTGCGTGCCGGTGAGCGCCGCCTTCGGACGGTTGCGCGGCGTGGCGCGATGTGATTTTTTTTGCCGCGTGACCATTACGGTGATATCAGTTTGGCGTGACTTTGCGATTGTATCTCGTCGTGCTTCCAGTATTTTGCTCGGGAGAATTGTCCTGCAACTTATCGATGAGCTGAAACGGCGAGAGTTTTCCAGTCAAACGCTTGTACACGTGACAATTGAGCGTTTTTGGCTATGTCTTAATTAAACTGGATTCTGGAGTGTCGTGAGTTGATAGTTTCGGCCCAGTCACCAATGACGACACGTAAAAACCCCATCGCATCAACTTTGGTTCTACAATTAAATTGGATACCTTGAACCTCTGAGCATTCAAATATCAGTTTGACTGTCATGCGACGACCATGGCTTTCATGTGGCCAAACTCACTGAAACAACATTCTCATTTTGAAAAGGAGATCTGGGATAAGAATACATTACAGGGTCATTTCTTGAGAACTGCATTTTGTGTTTAGTTTGTTGCCCTTGCCCCGCACCTCCAATAAGCGCGGTTGGCTACGTACGGTGCGAAAGAAGTTGAACATACTTAATAAGTTCAATAATTGGAGAGCACATCTCTAGTTCACCGTGAGAACTTCAGGGCCAAGCCCACGTGAGCCCACCGGCACCCACGTGAGCCCACGCACACACGCGAGTCGGCATGAGGCTTTCGGAGGGAGATAATTGCGACGCAGAGGCCGCTGATGGATAGTTGCCGTGCGTAACGGGCTCCGTAACCCCCGCTGGTCCCCCGCAGGCATGCGAGCTGGTGGTGTCGGGCGACGGCGAGGAAGGCACGGAGCCTCACGACGTCACCGCCCGCGTCCGGAGGGAGGTCACCTCAGCGCGCACCGTCTCTTACGGGCCCATCCGGCGCAAGGGCTCGGAGCACGAGACTGCGGGTCGCCCTGGCGCAGGTAGAGGGGACGCAGCCGGTCTCTCTCTCTCTCTCGGTCCCTCTGTCTTCTTCCCTTAGCCGACCCACAGCGGCCGCTTGAGCACTGGAATGACGTCTTCCATTCTGCAATCACGGCAGATGCCTCCTGTAGGCTTTCCTTTATCGCGTGGCAGTCAGAAACCATACTCTTAGTTTTTTTCGGTAAAGTCACGTAGGTAAAAAATGAAATTAAAATTAATTAAAAAAAAATTCATTTTTTACCTACGTGACTTTACCGAAAAAAACTAAGAGTATGAATCCTTGCAGTCACGAAAGCTTCAAATATAGAAGTCAGAAACGATGTTTTATCTTCAGAGCTGGAATTCGTCCAGATATATTAGCGCGGAACCGAATTTATTGCGGTAATTTTAACGTGCGGCCATCGGTGACCGGGTTTGAGACCATCAACTCGTTACACTCGAGATCCGAATTGAATCACGGTTGGCTTAAACTTGCATGTGAAGCCAAGGATCCCAGCGGTGCCAGCTTGGCACTTTGACTCCTGTCAACTCCTTATCACAGACCAATTCAGACCTTACTGGTCACCCCGTGCCCTTATAAATCTCAACGTTCATCCTACAAAGTCCCATCACAAGGGAGAAACACAATTAGACAAAAAAACAAAATTTCGATTTAAAGCTTTCGTGACTGCAGGTATTCATATTCTTGATTCTTTCGGTAAAGCCACGTAGAAGGGAAATACTAAAATTAAAAATTAAAAACATAATAAAATATAATTGTATTATTTCCCTTCTACGTGACTTTACCGAAAGAACCAAGAATACAAAAAAAAAATTTTGCTCGTATTGCAACGGCTGTACAAAATTTCCCGTACAAAAAAACGGAGTAACCCGAATGGGTTGACAGGCATGCGCATTTAACGCGTCACAATCCTACTGTCGTTTGCACTTTCCCCCCGGCGTGCGACTCGCAGGCCGGAGCAGGCCGTCCTCCGTGCAGGTGCTGATCCTCAGCGTGCTCCTCACGGCGGCCACCTTGTTTGTCCTCATCGTCGCGGCGCTGTGGCGTCGGTCGCGCCGCTCGCGCCGCGTCACCCTCCGTCACGACCTAGCCTGCCTTGGCACCACCACCGCCACCACAGCCACCACCGCCGCCACCGCCGCAGCAGCAGCCGCCACCTTCCGCCTAGCGGGCTCCGGGACGTCTCCCGCGCCGCCCCGGTCATTGGCAGGGTCCGTCGCTCTCACGGGGGGCCCCCAGCCCTCCTTCAACCCGGCCTTCTTGCCCGACGCAGATTTGGGACACTGCACGGACTGAGTTCATCGGCGAGATGGCGAAATAGATCGGGGGGGGGGGGGGGGGCCGAGGATGGGATTTGCCTCGAGATTTGGTGGGACCACGCCACTTTTCTCCTCGTGGCTTTCTTAAATCTCACGAACGTCGCAGACGCAGTTTTGTGCTGGAACGGGTCGGGCCGATGAATTGTTACTTTTGGTTGTGATGTGTAAAAAGATATATATGTATGTGTACACAGGATTTGTTTTAAATTTGAGTTCCATCTGAAGTGGCTAATTATAGGTTCAGTTGGTCTCACTTCAAGGAACTATAAAAAGTGTTTCTCTGGTATCTTATTTTAATACAGTAAAATTCTGGCTAGCCAAAATTCACGTTTTTCCAGACGAGGCTCGGCAAAATAAAAAAAGAACCTGCTGCCCCACAGCCTCTGGGATTGCTTCGACCATGTGGCACAATGTAGGGCCTACACTCAGTGCTTTTTAAATATCCCCCGTATAGCGGTCATCGGACTGTTGGGGAAAGTGCTGTTCGCGAGCACCTATGAGGTGGCACGGCACACAAAGGGGTAGGTGGCCAGCACCACGCCCGGCCACCTTTTGTCTCCACATTGGCGATGTTGTACACACCGCACCGGTACTCATTCGGCATAGGGGAGGCCCAGGACCAGTTGAGATAATCGTCACTGGTGGTGGCCGTCAGCGGGAATCGAACCCGGGTCGCCGGGTTCATAGCGCAGCGCGCTAACCACTGCGCCATCACTCCCCCGCATGCAGTATAGTGCAGTATACCACGCACTCAAATTACAGCACAGTACTTACATTTTTTTGGTCTGTATTTTATTTCATGGTCTTCAAAGTACAGTAAATGTATGTAAAAAAAAGTTTTAAAATTAATTTTAGCGATATTAAGTGTGATCTACAGGGTTGTTGATGTTTTGTTCCATAGATGTGCAATGCATTTGCAGCGAGCCAGCCCTTTCAGATACCTGGGGCAGGGCTGCCCCTTTTAGTCTGGATAGCCAGGGGTTTTTACTGTATTGTTTTTTTTAAGTCTGCCAACTTTTTATGATGTAATTGCTGTTTCCACAGTCTCAATAAATCTTAGCAATAACTTGTGCTTCATAGACAGTATTCTGACAAGAATAACACTGGTGGGTTTTTATAAAATGTATTTATTGTCATTTTGTTAATAAAACTGACAGCATGTAAAACAATCCAACAAGCCATGGTCCTGAGAACAACACTTTTTAATTTGTAGTGACCTCTTGCCTGAGGCACTCTTCAATGCCAATCGCAGTTTCAGTCTCACTCCAACACGATTTCTCACTGGGCAGTGGAAAATTTAATTTCATACCTCATTTCAGGAACGTTATAAAGGGGTCATGGATGGATGGGGTTGCCACCTTTGAGGTACACAGGAAAACGACGAATATCTCGCAGTATCGGAGCAGGGAAAACTCCACGTACACTAATCCTCTTGTTTGGTGCAGTGTTTCACAAATTACACAAAAGGACTTTTAATGTCCTGGGAAGACTTACAGATATCCCAGGACGGCTACCTCAAGTCGAGAAAGATCTTGCGACAAAACCAGGGCAGATGGCAACCCTAGTCATGGGTATTGAATTATACCATGTGTTTTTTCTCTAAGTTGTAAAACCGACAGGATTTAAAAAAAACCTAAAAATATACTTTTTCAAGAGCCTGTTCTTCGCTTCCTAAATTTGGAACGTGAACTGGAAAGGGTGGTTTTGCAGTTGTATCGGGATTTTTTTTGTATTGCATTATTTCTGTCTTGAATAAACTGGATGTTTTCAATGTATTTTTCTTCCAAAACGTCTAGAGCCTTGACTTGATATCACAAACCAAGTCGTTATGCCACACAATTTTGTGGTAACTTGGGATCTGAATAATTCTCCATCGAGATCAAATAAATTGGCACAATTTAGCATCACGATTCCGTAATTGATTGTGCTTTACATTGTGGTGAATGTTACAGCCTCTACCTGGCTGGAATGTTTACAAGAACCCACGACGTAAAACATACGGATTGAAAAAACTTCACCGTTCGATGTATGTATCATGGTGCTTTTGCATCTATAATTAGTGTATGGATCGATGCATTGTTACACGACTAGAACTCATCATTGTCATTATCATCAACGTTCAAACCGCCTCAATAGTCCTACAGCCAATAACAGTCTAATCTCAGATGATTGAGAACATTTAGTATATATTTTTTTTATTAACCACTATTTTCGAAATAATAAACATTTAATTCCCGCCAGCGCTAACGATATTGCAATGCGAACGGTACGGAGTAATCTTTTGGAATCCATAGTTTATAAACAAACAAATAAACAAAAATGAAATATATACGTGTACAAATAGAAGAAACACGTTCCTTCGGAGTGGGCTGGTAGGAACTTGGTTGGACAGCGCATTCGTGCACGACAGACAAATATGCACGACAGACAGACAAATAATCCCTGGTGGGCAGTGTGGAACCTGTTGTTCCTACCTGATGTGTCGAGTGCTAACTTGCTTAGGTGATATATTTACTTCTCTGAGACAATGTAAAGACCACAGGCTCCCTAGGCAGCATTACACTTGTGTTGTCAAAATCCGGAGAGAAAAACAAAACCCCACTGCAGTAACCCTGCCACAATGAGTCGTGTACACAGCAAGGCCATCACACAGGCAGATAACCTACAAAAGGTGTAATTGTTAACTCCTTCACCTGGGGGGAGGTGTATAAATAGGTAATTTTGTTACTGTTTCCTTGTTGTTTCTAGATTTGAAGTTTTCGTGACTGCAAGGATCCATACTCTTTGGTTCTTTCGGTAAAGTCACGTAGGTGAAAAAATAATAAAATAATAAAATAACAATAAAATAAATATACAAAATATCAATATAAATAACTACATTAAATCACGACGTTTCGATTGCAACACAGGCAATCATCATCAGGTGTGGAAATCACAGCTAGAAAATCCACTTTAGTAAAAAAAAATCTAGCTATGATTTCCACACCTGATGATGATTGCTTGTGTTGCAATCGAAACGTCGTGGTTTAATTTAGTTATTTCTATTTTTTATTTTATTTTTTATTTCATTCAAGTATGTTTTTATTTTATGTTTTATTTTATTATAATTTTTTCACCTACGTGATTTTACCGATAGAACCAAAGAGTATGGACCCTTGTTGTTTGTCTCGCCCCTGGTATGCAAAAAAAAATTACTGAAAAATAATATTCGCGTGCTCACCGTGTGGCCTTGTCAAGTGATTCGTTTCTTCGGCTCTCCTCTTGTCTCACCTTCACAACGGAGTGGGAGCTCCCACTCGCTCACCCACCCCAGCAGCTTGGCAGCACTCACTAAGTGGCCCCTTGCCACGTCTTGCTCTTTCGCGGAGGGCAATCCCGGTGGCCACCCAGGTTGCAAAGCTGCTGCGCGGGCCACCGATGATTTAAGAGTGAGGTCTACTTTGTTTCTATATATGTTTTGTTACTTTGTAAATATATATTTTTTTGTCACCCAGTTTTTACAGATGCGCCAGCGTACGATTATAATACACGCAAGGGTTACGTGACAAGTAATGACTGGGTTCGTAAAGGATGAAGTTGAAGGGGCATTAAGGTCTTATTTGCCCAGGGTTTTCAGTTCCGTTAAGGACGGTCTACTCATTGCGATTGACTGTTCTGAAGGGTATATATTCTTTGGTTCTTTCGGTAAAGTCACGTAGGTGAAAATAAAAATAACTAAATGAAATCACGACGTTTCGGAAGCAACACAAGCCTCTGTCATCATGTAGGACAGCCACAGCAATAAATAATTTGCTGGAGGTATTTATTTATTTGTTTTTCCACCTACGTGACTTTACCGAAAGAACCAAAGAGTATGGATCCTTGCTGGCACGAAAACTTGAAATCTAGAATGTTCTGAATGGTGTAGGTGACGTCTTATTGCATTGTTAAGGTTCATGAGTGTAGGTTGTTTAAATAATCGTTTCTATACGGTAATCCAGATATTAAAGTTACAATAAATGTATCGTGTTCGACGTACACTCTTTTAAACGCAGAATATGCGGTGCAGATGGTGATTGTGATTGCTGTGGACAGAGTGAAACAACATGCCCCACCTTACCGCTGCCGACGAGTGCTGTATTTATTCTAAGGTGTCTTACATTCGGGGCATCAGATTCAGAAAATAACCCAAGAGCAATCTCAAAAGGCCGAATCTCAATTGGCCTTGCGAGACACACTTGTAGCTGCTGTACGCCACAAAAATAATCGCGTGAAATAATGGAGAAAGTCAACACTTTCATTTAAATCCATCCACCAATCCCAAGTGCACGTATTGCATTGCTTAACTTTCTTACGCTGTAACAGACGGAGCTGTCGGGTTTCACAATATTTCATCACCTTGCTAACCCACCCATACTGGACATCTGTGAAAAAGAGCTTCATAGCTCATCGGATTCCTCCAGTCTACAGTAAAGATTCTGATTCTGAGAAGTAAGAGTCCCATTATGGATCTGTCGGCTATCTATCAATGGATTATCCTGCATACACGCAGAATGCAGCTCCCAGTGCCCACTATGTGAGAGTGCTCTGTATATGAACCTTATGGAGGGACCCCGTGGTTCCGAATAAACGGAAGTCAAAATCGTAATTAATTTCTTTATTTTTGGGGACTCCGTCCCACCGCGTGTCGTTAAACCCGCCACCACCCGACACGGCCAAATCAGTAAGGCTCGTCATGTACACAGGACACACCAATTCGTTACTAGTTCAGCACACCGGTGTGTTGGAGAGCAAATCCATAACATTTACAATCTGAGTACGACGTTTCGCCAGTAATTACAACTAGCTAATTGGTTATCTCGGGTGGTGGCGGGTTTAACGACGCATTTATATTTACGCGATCTAACTCAAACAAAAAAATCTATATTATAGATGATATTGATCGCGAAATCCTTACGTGTTTAACTACCATAGAGTAATTTACAACAAACCTTTAAAGAGGGGACAATGCCTACCTAGCAAAGCAGAAGCAAATTGTCCAAAGCCACGAACGACACGGAGGAAGCCGAGAAATATAACAATGAACTGGGATGTGAAACTGACAATTGCCTACACGGATGTCTGCAAACACGATTCGGAGAAAATGTAGAAATTAAATGGGAGAACACACAACACACATGAGGATTTCGTAAGAAAGCAATGCGAGCAAGACAGCAGCGAAGGAACACGTGGTCGCATTCATTGCTGATGCCAGGCCACGTAGGGTGCGAAAGAAGTTTAACATACATCCCGTATATAGATTGCCCCCAAATTGCATTGCATGGCCAAGGTTGCGTTGAAATCTGTCATGCAATGCGTTCATACTCTTAGGTTTTTTCGGTAAAGTCACGTAGGTAAAAAAGAAATAATAATAAATAATAGAAAAAATTATAGAAATAAAAGAATAATAGGTCTTGATACAGCAATTGTGCTGTGGCGGTTCCACCTGAAGACGGGAGCTTGTGTTGCCTCCGAAACGCCGTGATTTATAATTGTATTTATATTATTTTTCTATTATTTTTTCTATTATTTATTTTTTACCTACGTGACTTTACCGAAAAAACCGAAGAGTATGAATTCTTGCAGTCACGAGATTTTTGCACACAGCGTTGGTGTACGGTGTTTTTTCTGCAATATTTTTGCTGTCTTTTCTTGAATTTTCTGTTTGCACTTAGTCACATATTCACTTTAAGATTTTTCGATTTAAAGCTTTCGTGACTGCAGGGATTCATCTTCTTGGTTCTTTCGGTAAAGTCACGTAGAAGGGAAGTAATAAAATAATAAAAATAAAACATAACAATTGTTTTATTATGTTTTATTTTTATTATTTTATTACTTCCCTTCTACGTGACTTTACCGAAAGAACCAAGAAGATGAATCACTTTAAGATGTTTTTTGTTCATGTTTTAGTTTTTTGTTTGTTGCGGTTGCACCCGATTCAAGAGCTGAATGGCTCACAGGGCTATACCTAATACATGAACTTGAACTTGAAATCTGTCATGCAATGCGTTGCACGACCGCAGCCGTTCTACGTCATCGCTCACTTAATATTCATATTCCTTAGCCACGCCCTCTCCGTGACGTCACGTCAACACTCCGGCTCTCGCTGCCGGGGCTAATGCAGTTACTATTACTTATACTTGGCAGCGCTTCAACATACTTTATTTTAAATCTTTACTTACAATTGTTGCTAATTCCGCTCGTCTGCGACGCCACGACAGACTTTAGTGGTCGTTGAGCGGCGTTGAGTCGACGCCGACTATCGACCGGAACACCCCCTGTGCGCCGCGGCTGCAGCCCCCCGAGCATGGCCGGATCCGGTGGCTAGGAAAGACGTAAGGCTTCACCGTGTCCTAGGCCGCAATCGCGGTCAATTTTAGAAAAGGTTTTTTTTTTAAGTGTTTAATTTAAATGCACGGATAGAGTTGATTTAATAATGCATGATACGTGTTTCTGTCTTTGATTCTTTATATATGTGTTCGATTCTAGGAAAACGTTGAATAAACTTAATATATTAATTATGGACAACATTGAATGACTTATACGTTCAAAAGTAGAACATGTAAGGAATCAAACATAGCAATACATATAATGCCACATTGTAATACTGTTATTAACGTATTATGTGTACAGCTGCAGTGTTGGTAGTACAGCCGGTGAGTTTATTTTTAAGACTCACTTGAACAATGTCCCTTTAAACTTCGACAAGGTCCATTTAAAAACATTCAAATGTGTTGATGGAAATTTCTAACAGTTTTGAAAGTATGAAATGCTCAATTCCGTATGAGATAGACTGTAACTGTATATGTTATTGCATTACTGTTGGCTGTAAAGTGTGGCATTTCCTACCATCGTAATGTGGCATTTTCTCCACTTGGTCAGGGCAATGAACACGAGATGGATGTGGCCCACACTAGTTTGAGTGAGAAATCACTGATATTTAACTATAACTGGAGCTTTTGAAGTATTATTAACATAAATGTATATGGTGCAGTATGGAAATAATACAAAAAACAACTTTCAATTAGGTTTAGTTTGTCAGATTAATTAGCTTCAAAACCCCAGAAAAAATTCATTGCGAAGGGAAAGCGTGTTTCCACACTTTTGCATCGTTTTATCACTGAATAATGCATAGTTTACAACAGCCGTCATTCATCGCCAAATGTTCAAGACTAGGTTCGCTTTGGGGCCATTCGGAGTGGCAAAGGCTCCCTGACAGGAGGTCGCTGGCCAAACTCACATCTGGCTGTTGTGATTGCCAAGATGCATCACCCTGAACTCTACACTCGTAAATACATACATCATATGCACACATGTTCGTGCATCTAAACTGATAGCAGTAGCCAACTTAACGTCGTGCGCACGTGATTGTGTTTGGGTGCCCATCATGTCAGTCAAAGCCACCAAACGCAATGCCCCATCGTCTGAGGTTGTGGTGCCACGGCTGTGGTGAGGGACAGCTCATGGACGATGGTGGGCAGCTGTCTGACCGTGTGTCGTCATTGTATTTTTGGCGACTGGAACCTGTGACTGTTGATTAGTGCCAGGGCAAGGTCAGCCCCAAGCCTGTGATCAAGGTTGAGGTGCTCGTGGTGGTGCATATCGTAGCAGTAGTAGTGGTTGGTAGTGGTGGTCATACTGTTCCTGATATTGGGGGTGGAAATAGTGGTGATGTTGGTGAACAGAGCTTGGATAAATTACAATTGTAATTGTGCCATTCGCAATTCATTGGAATCACAGTGTAATTTCAACTAGCATTGCTGCTGTAAAAGTAATTATAATTGCTATCTAACCTTGCTGCTGTAATAATTATGATTATTACAGCAGCAAGGTTAGATAATTACAATTGGCCGTTGATCTTGTGGTGAAGATAGAGTTGATGGTGGTGGTGGTGACGTTTGTGTTGGTCATGGCCATCGAGGTTATGATGATGCTTTTTGTGGTGTGTAGTAGTAGTAGTGATGGTGTTGTTGGTGGTGGCTGTGGCTATGGTCGTGACAGTAATAGTAATGGTGATGATAGTGGTGTTTGAAATTGCCCATAATATAATTTAAATGGAGGAGTAATGCCCTACCACCTGTTTAGGAATTTTCAAGGTGACTATGAAATACCGTTTAACAATATGACAGGGGGCATTGTTAGCATCATGCTATAAGATGTACTGGATTGGTAGGATTTTATTGCAAAGCTGTATTCTTTGCAAATCACTGTGTGACCATATGTACTAACATTACCCTGTTTAGTTTGCTGACATAATGTGACCTTTGCATTCCCTCATCCAACAACAATCTGCTGAAAAGACTCGTGCAGTAAGGTCACCCTGAATTGTTGCTTTAATGACATCAACGTTTTCCTTTTAATACATCGTCAACATAGACAATTGTGAATCAATTCCATATTTATATTGATGGGCAACTTCGCATCTTTTTTAGTTGCATATTGCATCCAGGTGTTTAGCAGTTTATTTTATGGAAGTTCCACACCTTTGGTGCTTAGGTGTCATTTGTGTAAACTATTTTCAGCAGTTGTTCCTTTTTCTGATCGATCTAGTTTTGAGTTTTTTTAAATATATTTTGAAAGGTGAAATTTAACAGTGTTTTTTTAACATCCACAACACTTTTTTATTGTAATTGATAGTTGAAAAGTTTTATGCTGGATATCATTTGTGTAAAATACGATGTCTGTGAAATTGTATTAAACAACAACAGTGATGTCTTTTATTCAGAATGACTTAAGTCTCTTTACATCGGTTCTACATTGAGATTCAGGATAGTCTTGCATTGGGATGTTTTTACGTTTCCTTATAAAGTAGTGTTTTCATATGGGAGGGTACGGGAGTCCTTGGAGAATACCCTTGCATACAAGGGGATAGATGTTTTCACAGACACTTTGCCACCTTGCAGTCAACACTGAATCGCTGCCCCATTTCGTGTCTTCCTTACTGTGCAGGGTCAGTACCATGCTGAGAGTAATTTGGAGTTCCACGTGATTTCATTGCCAGCAACTTCGAGGAAGGACCCCAACCATGGTGAGTGAATGACATGCTCTGCATTCATGGTTAGGTAATGTTTGCTTCTATGCAAATCAATCTGTATTTGGACATGCTAATGACTCGTGTAAGTGATGAGTATAACACGTCTTTCAGTGTAATGTTATGTAACGAAATGCAAAACTATTGCTGACTCACATTTCACGGTATGTTTGCTGACCTATTGGCAAGACATCTGGTTTCACATTTGCTGCAAATAAAAGGTCAAGTAAAGGTGTGCCGAACACAAACGCTTATTCCACAATAAGTGTACTACTTCATGAATGTGAGAGGACATTTATAGGCCACTGAAATATTGTAAAGTCTCGTAAATATCCAAGTTTGGGCCCTTACAGATGTTCTATCTCTTGCAATAATTATTTGGATACCTGTATTTGGATGATGTTTGGACGAGATTGTAATATACGTAATGACAAACTTTTTTAATTTAGCCGTGGCTAACTTTCACATCTTCTTGGTTCTTTCGGTAAAGTCACGTAGAAGGAAAATAATAAAATAATAAAAATAAAACATAATAAAATAATTCTCATGACGTTTCGGCTTGCGTTGTGGCCGAAACGTCGTGAGAATTATTTTATTATGTTTTATTTTTATTATTTTATTATTTTCCTTCTACGTGACTTTACCGAAAGAACCAAGAAGATGAATCCCTGCAGCCACGAAAGCTTTAAATCGAAATTTAACTTTCACATGTTGAATTGTTTTGACATGATTGATGCTAATAGGCCAACTTGTGTGAATGGCATATGCTCTTAACTTGCTTTCGTCATTGCCCACATAAGTTATTGGCATCACAACTACCATCGTGTTCATCACAGGCACCAGCACCATCACCTCAATATTTTGACCCACTCTTTGCTGTAGGTCAACCCTTGCTTGGTCTACTCTTCACTCTGGATGTACTCTATATCCTCACTTTGCTCAATCACAATCGATCTGTGAATTAAAACGCCCAAGTGTGCGCATGTTTATGCCCGCAGTGTGAGCGTTTACGCAATAGATATTGGCTATACTGATATAATATAGTTATTTATTTATCTTGAAAAGTCTCAATGAGTCTGAAGTATCTTCTTCAGGTGGGGCATGCATTTCAATATTTGTACCAGTAGCCGGTTCTATAATGAAATTAAATAAATTATTTCACGCGTTAAGCCGGAAATAAACCCAGCACCTCTTCGCTGTCTTGTTTGTGGTAGGATATAAACTGTCAGCTCTGTGCAAATTGGCTCAGCGGTGAGTGCACTGACCACGAAAAGCCACCCGGGCTAACCAGGGACATCTGACAAAAACGCAATGAAACTTTTATAGTGGAAACAACTGCTGAATGTTTGTAGCCTCCAACTTTATTGCAATACATATAAAACAGATTCCAGTCACAATTTTAAAATGTGTAAAGAGCTTTTTTTTAAAAAAAATGGCCATTGTGAATGTCCCTTAAGGTGCGAGCCATAAACCATGTTGGACGCAGCTGCGATTAATGGGCTGCTGGGGGTTTAATTGTGTTATTAAATGCTCTCGCGGTGCAGTAAAGCACTGGTGGTTCGTTGCGTGGTATTTCTTTAGAGACAGACCTAAAGGTCACATTTAGCTCAAGATTTAAACCATTCGAGTGAAAACTATGCCAACTCCTTAAGCATCGGGGATGGTGGGATCCCTTCATAAACATCTTTCCATCTTGCGCTTTGTCTCTCTATCTAAGTGCAACGAACCCTACGCTCGTCGGTCTGTGTACATGTAAACATCCAGCCATCATTATAGCTTTCCTCATTATAAATATTTCATCCACAGAAATTGTACGTTTAAACAGTGAGTATGGAACGAGTAGTTCTTTTTTAAGTGCCAACGGATGTTAGCGTATAAATCCCAAGCAGCGTGCAAAGTTGACGTTGTTTATGTTGAAGCACATTGTTGCTGTATACACACTGGCAAGGCACCCACTTTTTGAAGACCGTAGCTTGGCACTGCGCAATTATGAGCAGCCCGGTAATTCTGTGCTGGCCTTTTTCCAATGCAAACCCCAGAAAGGTTGCTTATCGACTGCGTTGATATTGAAGTGAATGAAGAGGAGCAGGAACTTTGAGATGCTGAACAGTATTTCAGACAGACACGACTCTTTAAGTAATTTTTCCCCCTTTTGCTAAGATGCTGCCGCCCTCATCCTTTACTCCCGGTTCTCGTGCGGCTGCTCATCTGGAAACCTTTTATGGTCGTGTTGAGTGTGGGTTACGCTGTGGAAGTTGAGTGGTGGGGGGAGGAGAGATTATGGTTGCCAAGCCATTGAGCTTGTGTTAAGAATCAGTACCAAGGCAGTGAAAGTGGATAAACAGGGCCATACTCACGCCATCGTTCCATAAAGCCACGCAGTGCTAACACTCAACAAGCGTGGTTTTTTATACTTCCATTTGTTTGCACATTTTTTACTTAGTTAACTTGTCTTTCTTTCTGCATTTTCCCCCCAGGTTTTACTTGCCATAGAGATGTGTTCACTTACTGGGTTCTCACCTGGTTTATGCACATGTATTTTTTGTATTATATAGCTTTCGGTAAGGTCGCACACATACTGGAGTGTCAAAGGATATTTTCTGTTGTAGGCGGTAGTGATGTTGATGGAGATGCACTGGAGATGTATGTAATTATAAAAGCATACATGATGTTGACGATGATGTTGACTACGGTGATGACGATGGTGAAGACAATTAAAAATAATAAGATCAGTGATAGGGGACAGCAGTGACACAGCGGTTAGTTAAGAGTGAGCTATAAACCCAGTGACCTTTGGCCATGGCTAACATCAGTGGCGGTAGAAATCTCAACCAGTCCCGGGTTCCCACTCGAACCTTTACCAACCTGCACTCACCAGGTTTGCAAAGTGTAGTTAAATAATTCCCATGACTGACATGGCATGGGGAGGTCTTAATCAAGCAGTGAATTGACAAAGCTGTAGATGTATCGGTCGGAACAAAACAAGCCAAATATTACACACAGCACAGACATAACAGATTTTGCAAATGAAATGGTGGGATTGACAAAAGAGTAACAAAATAACATAACAATGATGATCCCGACTTAAAGCTTTCGTGACTGCAGGGATTCATCTTCTTGGTTCTTTCGGTAAAGTCACGTAGAAGGGAAATAATAAAATAATAAGAATAAAACATAATAAAATACAATTCTCACGACGTTTCGGCCACAACGCAAGCAGCCGTCCTGCTGCCTGCATTGTGGCCGAAACGTCGTGAGAATTATTTTATTATGTTGAATTTTTATTATTTTATTATTTCCCTTCTACGTGACTTTACCGAAAGAACCAAGAAAATGATGATCCCCTTCACACTTCCCCATCTTTCCTCTGCGTCCCCCCCCCCCCCCCCCCGCATCTGGTGTCTCGCGCAGCGTCGTCGCAGCGGGGCCTCTCCGCCGCCTCCCTCGGGCCATGCCCACTGCCTGAGCTGTGTGAGCTCACGCTGCCGCGCCACGCCCGAGGCGCGCGTGTGCTGCGCGCAGGTGGGCTGCCCGTGCGCATGCGGCGCCCGCTACCACGCGTGCAAGGGCGACGAGCACGCGCTGCTGTGCCCGCTGGAGCGCGTGCCCTGCATCAACCGCGACTTCGGTTGCCCCTTCTCCATGCAGCGGTGCAGGCTGGGTCAGCACCTGCAGGTGGGCGTGGCTCGCTCGTGTGTGCTGGGTTGCTCGTTCGTTCACTTGCTCGGCCGCTACCGTGTTCACTTGCTCACTCACTAGTCGCCCACTCACTCATACACAGTCTCTCTAACTCACTAAATCACTCGCTCGCTCACACACTCTCAAATTCGTTTTCTCCGTCACCCTTTCACTCACTCACCAACTCGCTGGCTCTATCATTGTATGTATGTTGAACTACTTTTGCACTGGAAATAGCCAACCGTGCTAACTTATTCCTTTACTTTCCTGTCGTGCAATCACAATCTCTCTCACTCACATGCTCGCTTGTTTACTCTATTGCTCATACGCTTGCTCACTCAGCCATTCACTCACCCTTTTACTCACACTTTCACTCACTTACTCCCTCACTCACTCTTACCCATCCTTCATGGTTGTATTGATTTAAATGGAAGTATAATTGTCCCTGACCCACTGCTACTCCCTATGTCACAGACATGCCCTGCCAGCGTGGTATGCTGCAGCATGGAATGGAACCGCTGGCCCATCAGCTACACGGACCGCAAGCTGTTTGAGCAGCTGTGTCGCCACGGAGACCCTGACAAGCAGCTGGACCTCGCCGTGGCTCAGCGCGACCAGAGGCTGCTGTTGCAGACTCTTCAGGGTGCGCGGCTCTTCCCAGAGCTCATGCCAGAGTCACCAGTGAGTTCTGAGTGATGATGATGATCGTTATCGAGGTGGTAAGGTGATGATGATAAAAATGATCACGGTTGTGGTAACGATGGTGATTATGTTAATGATGGTAATAATGATCATAATGATATTAACACTGCAAATTACTTTGGAAATTATTACGATGACACTAAAAAAGTATGATGGTGATGATGATGATTTCTGCCATCACAGATAATGCCTTGCCCCACCGCTGATGCTGCGTGTCCTACTCCTCCGGCTGGAAGTAAGGGTCATCTCGAGAAGGACCTCCAGGACTTGTACAGAGCCACCATGGAGACCACCAAGTGCCTGGAGGCCGCACTTGACCTTCTCAACAATGGCACGGACCATGCGACGGGAGGCCGTGGCTGTCCTGCGTCCCGGGACACAGAGGACACTGGTGACACGGACGAGGTCGTGAGAGCCATCGTGGACACATTTGACGCTGCCCTGTTCAGCAAGGAACGGTCGCAGCAGCGTGCCACCGCCAAGGCGGAGGCTTCCGTGGCGGGTTCGGGCAGCACCATGGGGGGCCCCGCGGAGGACGGGCCGGTGCTGCCCCCTCCGCACAACGGCGTGACGGGGCCAGACGGCGGTGCCGCCGCGTCGCTCCCGCTAGCGGGAGGCTCCGACGGCACGGACTCAACTTCGTGCCAGGTGGGTGCGGAGAGGTGGCGTATCGCCAGCGCAGTGTGCAGCGCTTGATATTGCATGTGGACATTATTTAGTGTGTGCTAGTACAGCTTGAAAAGTGCGCAGCGTTTGGTGGTGCAGTGCGCGTTGTTTTTTTAGTGCAGCACGCAAGCTACGCGGCATTTTCTGCCGTTGTGCAACGTTTGATCTTGTGTGAACACTTTGGAGCGGGAGCGACGAGGTGGGTCCATACCGACAGCAAATTTTCCATCCTCTCTCTGCCAGAGCCAGCAGGGCAGCATGCTCATCCACTTTGGACAACGAGCGGCGTGCACGCCACGCGAACAAGACTTCGTCTACGGCTGCCTGGAGCCGCAGGCGATCACCACTGTCAGCACTTTCAAGGTATGTTCCTCCGATGTTGACGATGCATGTGACTGGCAGTGGCGTAACTATCTAATGTACGGGCCGTGCGGCTGTACCTGGGGCCTATGGGCCGGAGTGGCCCAGGTGCCAGGCTACAAAGAGAGGGGGCGAACTTGGGAGGGGGGGGGGGACACATTTCATTCCTTGCACCAGGGCCCATGCCGACCACCGGCCATGAGTACTAGTCCTGCCGCTGACTCTAATCCTATCCCAACACGACCTCCAGTACTGCAGTCGGGCCTCTTTCAAATTTTTCATTTGCTTTTCACTTTTTCATGCCCTTGGACAGTGCTGTTGACACCTCCGAAGCAGAATCTTTATTTATCCCGGAGAAATCCGATGAAGCTAGGAAGCTCTTTTTCACACATGCCCACCTAAAACTAAAACATTTTTTTTATTTGACCAGGTAAGGCCCACTGAGCTCTTTTTTAGAAGCCACCTGGCCACAAATGATAGCTCAACGAAGTGACTTGGCATGTGGAAATGTATAGCAGCCAAATAACTCTGAACCTGACCGTGACGACCCCGTACTCCGCCCCCAGGTGCCGACGTCGTTCCGGGGCTACAAGTCGCGCTTGAGCGATGCCATGCAGTTCCGGCGCAGCCGTGAGGACCGAGCCGTGGATACAAGCGACCTGGACTCGGGCGTGGACGAGGAGGGGGAGCACTCGAGCCTGGGCCGCATGGACGTGCTCACGGCTGCCTTCATGTATTGCCTGGAGGGGGAGGCGCGGCCAGGCACAGGCATCTCCGACATGCGGTGTGAAAGCGGGGGGGGCATTGCACAGTGATGAGTTAGAGGGCAGGGTGGAGCACGGGGTGTAGGCATTGACAACATCTGGCAGGCCAGTTGCACTGTGGGTTAACATTAACACCACTGGCGGAGCCAGTAGGGGGGGGGGTGGGGTGGCACGTGTCCCCGCAATGATCCGATCGAAATCCATAATTTCGATCGGATCATTGGGGTTTATTAGTAATAAATCGGAATTTTGCGACCCCCACTGCCACTGTGTAGCATATTATTACGTGCCAGGGACTCTGGGATGATAGGACAATAGTCTGAGTCCATAATTGGCAATAAGTAACGGCAAAGCAGTTATAAGTGACTCATAATTATGCGCAGTTGCGTAAACAGTACACGACTTCCCCGAAGGCATTCACCTTTTGCGAGCGTGATGCCGATCACACAACGCGGTTCGAATTCGACCCTCGATCGATGGCTGCGCCATCGCCGCACACGTGTCGAATAAAAAGCAAGGCACAAGTCCTTACTTACTACCAACTCCTATCATTTTTCATTGCTGGAGGGGTTGCCCCCCCCCCCCTACCTGAAAATGTTGGCTCCGCCATAGATTAGTATTGGGGTAGACACTGTGGCGTAGCGGTATAAAACAGGGTGAGGGGTAAATACTACAAGGGCAGGGCAAAGTATTACGAAACGGATAGCCACTACATTATGGTTAGAGGAGGATATACATGGCAGGGCATATTCATTATCGGGTAGGTGATATGGAAAGACATTAGGTGTAAGGATACATATGACAGGGAACATAAAGGGCCTACGGTAGCCATAGATACTAAGGGTGGGATTAGGTACGTGCAGTAGGAATGTATACAGGGCCATGGTAATGGCGTGCCAATTCAAAGTGAGGACAGACCAATGCACTACAGCAGTGGTTCTCAGGCTTTTTTTGGCTACCGTACCCCCTGTTAAATTTTGTTTCAACCGAAGTACCCCCCCTTGCTTGACCCAACATGGGTCTGAGAAACAATTATATGAATAAAGAACATCAGTATTTTAACCAATTGTCCATTTTGTCAGGTACCATCCTAACGAGCTCGTAATTGCAAGCGAGTTAAAAAAATTCAACGGGCGCTCTGCATGCGTGACGTCATTAGTTCGTGCTCGCTGGTTGCTCTTGGAAACCACATTGTTTACAATCAGTGAGTTTAGAAAGGTCTTTTATATCTTTCTAGGTTACAATATGTATTTTTTACCATAATTATTTTCAATTGGCAGATTCATACATGATTATTCACCGATGACTTTCATGCATGATATCATTACACATTTATCAATCACGTACCCACGGTTGAGAACCACTACACTACAGGGTATAGGGCTAGGAACTCCATACTTAGGTCTGGGTAGACAATGCAATGCTGGGCAATGCACATCGGGATGGGACAAAGGAACATTGGGGCAGTGCAAGGCTGCCTCGGCCTACACACCCGGGCAGAACGGGTGGGTACTCGTGTGCGTACGGCACCTAGCCGACAACCTCGAGCTTTACCCCCGCTTGCCGGAGGTGTCGTTTAGATTTTTCATTGACGGCTTTAGTTCTGCTTGCCTCATCAGCAGCACTGGAGATGGATACCACGTCGATGTGGGCACGCAGACTTTCGTCTTCCCCACGCTCCTGGCCTCCAAGGACTTCCTTGCGAACCTTGCCTCTGACACGGGATTTCTCCGGAAGGAGGAGCTCGCTGTATCACCACTGCCACAGGTGTGTGGAAGCTGCATCGCAAGGGGAGGGGGGGAGGGGTGTGTGAGAAATTTGATAACAGCTCAAAGACAACAAATGCACACTTATATGTGTTTGGAGCCAAGTGTCATTGTGAGCATCATCAAAAGGACTGTAATCATATGCAGAAGCCACATGATCGTCTTCGTTGTTATCAACGTCACCACTGTTAGGGCTGTCATTCTCATTATCATCATCAACTTAACCATTTCACATTGTGTTATCCCTTGTTGCTAAACTAATGCATCCCTATTAAGCGTTCGAAATTGGTGGGGCGAATTTTCAAAACTGACCTAGTTGGCTGCCTTTTTAAAAATTTATATACAAAGGCCCACAAGGTGACTAAATGTTTACATGTGAGTGTTTACATGTGTGGGAAGCAGTGGCCAGTCATCCCTTAAATATGAGAACCTGGTTCGGTGTGTAAACATCATTACTGGCTAGACAACAGAGACTTTGCCTTTTCCTGAACACATGACCTTTTCGCCATTCCAGTTTTGATGGAAATTTCGCCAGGGGTATATATATACACTAGCATAAGTACCCGGCGTTGCCCGGGTGAAAAATATATTTCTTAATAACCTTACATATATACACAGATGGGCTGCTACCCCTGTCCCCCCCCCCCCAGCCACGATCTCCTCGGCCGCTGTGCAGTAAGATGTACGGCCTATAGTGTGGTGGGGTGTCGAGGCCTAGTACCGTGCAGAGCCTGCGGCCTCGCCTAAATTGCCCACCCGGCTGAGGCTGGGTACCGGGGCCGTTACCCCCCCCCCCCCGCGCTACAATAATACTGTCTAATCGCTATAATTTTATTATCTACCGACCCTATAATAGTAATTGCACACATTGGGGTGGGGGGGGGAGTGAAGAGGACGTGAAACTTTGATGAATTTACGTCAGAGTCGCATGTGAATGCGTGCGCATATTTTTAACGGGAATTAAAAATGGCGTCCATCCCGCAGCGAATGCGTCGCTACCCGTTGCCAGGGGCAACCGCCGGACCAATCGTGTCTCGCAAATCCCTCACATTTCGTCCAATGAAACTGCGTATGGTCCGGCGACACACAGACAGACAGACAGATTTGCGATTTTATATATATAGATTCTAAAACTTTTTGTTAATGAGAAACGCATCGGAAAAGAAGAGGCAGAAACTCATCGGAAAGAAAAGGCAACGGTAGTCATTGGTGGCTAAACTAAACCCATGATTCCGCACAAGAAAGGAATGGCTATACAGTTATCTTTCGCTGCTGCTAAAATATTTTGGCCTCGATTTTGACCCTCATGAGTTGGTGGTATAATACAGGGCTATCGGCATTGTACGCACCTTGTGGTGATGTCACGTGACGTGTAAAGCTTCATGGGGGGACCAATTGTATGTTTACAATCGCACCTTTTTTTTCTGTTTCTAAATCACCTTTCACGTATGTAATAACTCCTATTTGTTGTCAACCTGCGCTCACCTTTTTTGAAATCCGATTTAGTGTCTCCTGATTTTACAGAAAGTGTAAGAATCTGTTGATTGCTAACACAGAGGAGTGAGCAGAGGCTCAAAACGTAGGTGGAAACATTGGCGGTGGAAAGGGCACTCTGAAACAGCTTGGGGAGGGAATCTGGTAAATATTAGAAGTGAAAAAAACAACACAAATTTAAGAGGAGAGCAGGTTGTGGTTTGGGTCACAAGGTATAGGGCGATCTTGCGCAATTGGCTCGTTGGGGGTCGGGCTCATATTTAGTTGGTTCGTGTACTCCACCGTTAAACAGTTTGTCTCTCCCTGTCCCAACCATGGCTAAACATTTCTTTGTGTTGTCTCTGTCCATTGCATGTCTGCCACCACTAGGTTCTGGCGTTGGACCTGGTGCAAGACTGCGTCACCATGTACCACACGAAGCAGCGCTCCGTGTTCACCTTCGTCTGCGGCCAGAGCTTCCGTCGTGACGAGTTCTCGTGGCACTTTCGCAACTCACACGGCGACGTACACTCGGCGCTCAACGGCTGGCTGGAGCAGCGCTGCCCGCTCGCGCACTACGGCTGTTCGCACTCGCAGCGCCGGCTGTGCCCCGTTGCACAGGTGCCACTTCACCGGTTGTGGATTGCCTGCCGCTTGGGTCTCCCTTTGACCGGTGCCTTGAGTAATCGTGGCGGTTCTTTGGGCAAAGGGATGGCAGAGATGGCACGCGCCAGTCTATTAAGGGACGGCTCCACCTCTGAGCTTCTGGGTTTGTAGCTAGGTTTTGGCTGCTTGTGAATGAACTGTGTTCTAAAGTGTCGTGAGTTGATGGTCTGAGCCCAGACCCTGTTTCTTGCTTTAATTAGTGTCAGGGCTGGGGGTCGAGGCATTCGTTTCCTGATTGTGGCGTCATCCAGTCGTGGATTGACAAAAGACCTGTAAAAGTCGATGACAATGTATTTCAGTGTCCTGTCATTGCAGCGGCCAGAGCCAGGTTAGTGTAGTCTGCGTTGTAAAAGCTGTTGTGTTATGCAGGGCTACCGGTTGGTGCACAGCGCGGAGATGGGAGCTCTGGGCGTGAGCATGAGCCAGCCGTCGCCATCACCGTCAGGTGATGCGAACGGCAGCGCTGACCAATTGAGCGCGCTGCCCTTCGAGATCGTGCGCCGCGTGGCCGCTATGCTCGATGGGTTCAGCCTTTGCCAGCTGGCGCTGGTGTCGCGCACGATGCGCGACGTGTGCTCCAGCCTGCTGCACGAGCGCGGCATGGTGGCGCTTGTGTGGGAGCGAACACGGGGGCCCGACGGTCGGGCCTTCTGGAGCACGAAAGCCAAGGCAAGCTGCTCACCGTAATCGTCGTCATCATCATTAGTCGCCTTTGATCAGTAACATCACAGGCTTTATCCGTTGCTGTCATCTCCACCACCACTATCATCGTCTCCACCATCCATCGTTATTATCGGTAACATCTTCACCGTTATCTCCACCATTGCCATGATCACAAAGATAATCTTTCAGCAGCGACCTTTCTCTCACAAAGTTATCTTTATATCCATTGCCATCATTGTTGTTATCGGTCCGGCGTGCAGGCGTGGAGTTTCAGCACGGCGTTCGAGCCTGTGCGGCACTGGGCGTTCGCCGACACGCCCAGCATGTCGGAGCACCTGCGCCACTGCCCCTGCTACACCGTGGAGGTTCGCACCGACGCCGTGCCGCTGCCCTGCATGGGCGGGCCCCGCGAGCACGCGCGCCGAGCCCTGCGCAGGAGCCTGCGCCCCACCGTGTGACGCCGCGGCGTACGCACGAGCAGAGCCGAGATGCGGGACGCGGTGGGGGAGCACGGCCGCTGCGGGCGAAAGCACCCCCCGTCTCGCCGTGTCGGCGTCTGACGGCCACGGTGGGCGCCTGCTGCACCAGCAGCCTGAATATGGGATTGGTGGATCGTGTAGAGATTGGGCTGTCAGGTGCACAAGACAACCACCTGCAGAGCAACGGAGGTGTCTGTAATGCCCCTTTTTCACTCCCACATTCGAGCTAAGCCAGCGTGGGGCCCTCAGAGTACGGGTGGTTTTCCATTTGCTCTCTGCCATGCCGAGCCGCAACCAAACCTTGATACGCCTGCCTCAGAAGACACCTAAAATGTGACTCAAAGCCATGTAGAGGCACCAGGGTCAGGGCTCATGACACGTTCATGGCATGTGATGTCAGCAGTGGGAAAAACAACCTTGGCACCTCCTGAGTTGGGCTGGTTCAGCACGGCTCTGGCGTGGGTTGATGGTACAGTGGATACGAGGTCTATGAGGTGGTGTGGTTAGGAGGTTTCCGAGTTGCCGCTGGAGTTTTGGGATTTATTTTCTCATGCTTTTTGGACTTTCTCCGGGCACTAGTTTTCTACAATAATGCATACGTGCTCATAATTAATATGAGTTGGCAAAAATCCCAAGCGGAAACCTCTTGAAAAGCGTATGCTCTAAAAAATATAAGTGTGACAAGCCAGTCCGGCAAGTGAATGGTTATTTTTAGACTCTTAAGGTCACATTTGAATTAAGCTAAGCACAGCACTTAAAGTGTCGGAGTAACGAAGTGCACATCCCTTTTGCAATTATGGTATTTGTCGCAACACCATAGCTTACAGCATAATGGAATTTGCTCAAATACTTTTATTATTTCTGTAACTATAAAATTCAAAAATAGGAGATATATTGTAATAAGTTAAGCCGCGTGGTTCACAGTGTGCCAAGCTGTTGTGACCATTTCGACAGCTGGGCTGTGGTCTCGCCAAACATTCTCTGACCCACGATGCTCACGTAACGCTGATGCGCGCTGAAGCGAGTAAGTGCGTGTGACTACACGACCCACTTGAAACCCAGCTTCTTGTGCATTCACGTCGAGTGTTACCATTAATATTCCAAAGTTGGCACGCACTTTGTTTAACCTACACCGTCGCTAGTGGTCACGTTTAACAATTTTCAGACCTCTCTGCATACCTAACGGGTGCCTGTATTGTATTGCCTTCCTTGAACTAAGCAATAGATTTTTGTTGTAAATGTCAATTCTCAGCTTCCTATAGAAGCCAACTTATAGACGTTAACATGATGCTGGGGATCACTCTTCTGCACTGCTGATTGCCACAAATGTGTGCGCATATCCATTATTCTGTCGCTTCAGCCAGGCCCAACTCCATCGAGATCTGTCAACAAGACCGGAGCAAAACCGATGCTCAATAAGGTCATGACCACTTCGCTTTCCAGGACTAATCTTACCTAAGCTTCACTTTGTACATGCACAGCCATGTTTTGTCATTCCACTGCTGGACGAAGGCCTCTATAACCGCCTGTGGGTTGTTGGCGTTATCTGAATACGCAAGTCAGCGTGTATTGGTGAAGGTAGGGAGCGTCGAGGTGGGGGCATAGTACAGTACAACAATTGATTTTGCTGCACTGCCCTTTGATGTCCACCATGTATCCCCAAAGCAGCCCAGAGTGGTCACTCATCCCAAGCGCTATGCAGGCTTAACCCATCTGACAAGATGGGGCACCCTTCCGGTTATTTGGTCATCGGCTACATCGCAGATTATGCTTCAGTTCAATTGCCTTTTAATGCCAAGGTTTCCCCCGTTTATGGGTTCCCTAAAGGAATTGAGCCATATTGAGCTTCCCACTCGGTCAGGTTGTGTGTTCTTTTTTCGTCTCACCACCTTTGCGATCACAGCCCGAAGAATAACGTTTATAAACACATCCCGCAATGTTTGCATTGTACATTGTTTACAGCCTCGGAGGAGCATGCGACGCTACTCCGTGTGGTTCATATGGACAGCATTCGTGCCGTGGTGTCTCTGCAGTTAAGCCTGTGCTAATGTAGTCTCGTTTCCCTCCTGGGTAATCGGGGAGCCAAGCATGCACCGTCCTCTAAGAGTAGGACAACAGGCGACCTTTTTCCGACACACGTCTGATGGTCTCATTGTACCCTCAACAATCAAATTACCCTACACCAAATAATTTCCCGGTGTGGCTTCATTTAAAGGTAGGCATGACCCAGTTGACAAATATCTTAAAACACAATGCCCAACACATAAATGCCCACCACTGGAAGAGATTTGGCGAGCATTGCTTCTCATGTGTGGAGCCACACTGATAGTTGTGAAGCCGGTTGCCCTGACATTACACTAACTTTGGTGTCTGCTAGCTCAGTTTGCACAGTTCAGGTGTGCCTTTTTCCACAGCAGTTGGTTCAACACAGATCATAATATATGCAAAACGTGATGCCTCTAACAGCATAGGATCCCGGCATATGATTGTCTCATTGTTCTGCAATCATGGCCACAGTTCTCTTGAATTTGTGGTCTCGAGCGAGGCTGTGTGCATTACACACGCAGTTTGGTGATGTCATGTGGCATGCAAGGCTTAATTTGGAGGACTGATCCTTTGGTCGCCATCACGCATTTGGGTGTTTAAAAATGATCTTTTGCTCGTATCCAGCCTGCACTCACTTTTTTGTCCAACGAGTTTCTCATCGTTGTATAGAGTGTGTTAGAATTCGTTTATTGTCAACGCAGAGGTGTTTGCAGTGCCCGATTAATGCAGGCGGGCACATTTAAGGTGGAGTGTTTTTCAATTGCAGGGCACTGTGAACCACAGCCTTTGAGAGGGGAATTTGAAGGGAGTTGTAAACACCACAAGTGAAAAGAATTACCAAAATGAAAAAAAGGGCAGGTGGTCGTTGGGGTAGGGCTTGTGCCCGGGACTGATTGGCTGAGCTAGGGTCAAGGCTTGTGTGCTCCAGCCCCAGACTCCCACCCTGCCATGGCCAAGTTTGGCCTTTTCACTTTTTGTTCGCTTTTCACTTATGGTGTTTACTGCGTCGCCGCGGCAAAAAGCGGAATGCTTCCCCAAGCTCGGAGCCCATGAGACGTTGGCTGCAGAATGCTGTTCATTACCATCGTTTCACAATAAAGTGTCCTGCATGTGACAATTAAAAGAGTTTCATTTTTTTTTACAGGTATTCTTACTCTTTTAAGACGCTACTTTTAAATAAAATCTGATTTTTACAGGCCATATCTAAAAGATCTTTTCACTCACCAGTGTATCCCAACAGCAGAATGATTGCTTTGCCATGGAGCGACGAGCATAACACTCAAGCAGACAAACAGAGACGACAGAATAACACTGGTCAACAAAAAAAAACTTTTTTTTCTTGCCTGGACTTTTGCAGCTGTTTTAGACTAATTTCAGGGTGCTGATTCCAAATCTGATCTCAGATTTGCTCTATCACATCATTTTTATGCTATCGGCATACCCCATTTTCATTGATTTTACCCGAAATTAACTCTGTCACTTATGATTGCAAGTTGTTGCGAGTCAGTGACTGCTTTAGTGTTAAAATATGGTGCTGTATTTTTAGGATAGTGTGTTTATAATATAATTTTATGTAGATATCCACATTTATTTAATATTTTTCTTCTGCAGTTTTTATTGAAAATGCAATATTTGCTATCTCAAAAACCTGATGTGATAGACAAAAACTGATGCCAGATTTGGAATTAGCACCCCAAAATTACCTTACAATACTGTTGGAATACCTTATGCCAGAAAAAAGTGTGTTGACCAGTGTAATAATCTGATCCACAAGGAGAATCTTGCTTTGGATATAATTTTATTATAAAAACCCGAAAAAATTACTTGTATTTTCATTCGGTCGGTGTCGACATCTTAAGGTTCCGATTTTTTATATAAAGACAACTGTATTCTATAGCGATATAACTGTGCTGTCTGTAGATTCCAGAGGAAGGAAGAGGGTTGTTCAACGTCGGTTGATATCACTCGGCCACGGGTCGTTTCCCCTAGGTCCCGTGAAACAAAAACAATTGGACACACTGCAGCTCTGTAAAACTTGCACGAGGTATGTTTCGTGTGTAGGCAGTGTCGATGTGGAGGCTGGTACGCAATTGTCGCTGTACCCAGAAGAATTTCACAGTGTTCAGATGAGCAAAAAAGGGGGGGGGTGGTGCATACCCATCAACCCATACAGTTTACACGTATTCTTGTACAGGGAAATTGCGTTTTTACGTCCATATGGCGTACAGCCATTTCAATACGGGCAAGGACATTGTTTTGTCTATTTGTGTTTCTCCCTTGTGATGAGACTTTGTAGGATGAACGTTGAGATTTATGAGGGGCACAGGGTGACCAATAAGGTCTGAATTGGTCTGTAATGAGGTAGGAGGCACTGATAAGGGGTTGACAGGTATGCACTATACAGTACACACGACTATACACTCCTATACCCTACTATACAGTACACTATACACTACTATACACTATTATACACTACAATATACACTACACTATCATACCTGTCAACCCATACGGTTTACCCCGTATTCTGGTACAGGGTAATTGAGTTTTCAGGTCCATATGGCATACAGCCGTTTTAATACGGGCAACAAAGAATGTGTCTGTGTTTCTCCCTTGTGATGAAACTTTGTAGGATGAACGTTGAGATTTATGAGGGCACGGGTTGACCAATAATGTCTGAATTGGTCTGTAATGAGGTAGGAGGCACTGATAAGGGGTCAACAGGTATGGTAGTTGTGCCCATTTCTGTTGGTGGCTCTGAACCGGTATTGACAATTCCAGATTCACATCGCGGGGAGGGGGCCAGTCTCTCCATAAGATGACTGCTGTTAACTTTCTCAAAGTGGTAATCATTTTATCTACAATGAGGAGAGGGTGATAGGATGAGCATTCCCACAATCCACCATCTACCAAGATTTTAACTCGCAACCTTGCCCGAGCGCTCTAACCACAGAAACACCCAACGAGTAATTTCCCCATTCATAATCAACGTTTTTGGGTTTAGATCGCGTTATTTATAAATGTGTCGTAACCCTCCACCACCCGACACGGCTAATCAGTAAAAAAGTGTCATGTTGACAAAAGACAAATAGTTCACTGCTTTAGCTCACCGGTGTGTTGAAGCGTGAAACCACAACATTTACAATTTGAGTACGACGTTTCGCTGGTAATTGCATCCAGCATCGGTCAATTCGCCAGAATTGTAAATGTTGTGGTTTCACGCTTCAACACACCGGTGGGCTAAAGCAGTGAACGATTTGTCTTTTGTCAACGTGACACTTTTTTACTGATTGGCCGTGTCAGGTTGTGGAGGGTTACGACACATTTATAAATAACGCGATCTAAACCCAAAAACGTTGATTATGAATAATATTGGTCGCGAAAGCCTACGTGTTAAATTTCCCCATTGCCCCGAAGGAAATCTAACGTCAAAGGTGAAGCGAATGAGTGTCTGAGCGAATGCGAATCGCCGTTGCTTGGGTGGTGCGGCACCGTGCGTTTACGTCGTCGTAAGCTGAGAACGCGAAGTCGACAGCATCAGCTTTGCCGGCGCAGCTTGCACAGGTACAGGGGTCCCCACGCGCGGCCTTCCTCCGGCACCACGAGCAGGCCTGGCTGCTCTCCTGCTCCTCCACCACTGCCGCCCGGAACACCGTCCAATGAAAATACACCCTGCAGACCCCGTGCCATGTCTGCCAAGTCGACGACCTGTAACGAGGGTAGAGGCGACCGCATCGCAGAGAAGAGTTTATATATGTTAGGGGCCGTCCATAAATGACGGCACGCGGTTTTGGACGATTTTTTATCCCCCCCCGCCCCTTCGTCACACGGTGTCACAAAAAGTCAGACCCCCCTTAAATATGACGTCACAAAGTTCTGCCCCCCCCCCCCAAAAAGCATGTTTCAAATCGCTTTAAGTCTTCAATTAAGTAGAACGTGTTGTCTATATTTAAAGTTGCGCATTTTGATGTGACGTCACATTTCTCAAACCCCCCCCTCGTCACACATCGTCACAAATGTCTGACCCCCTCCCCCAGGTGTGTGACGTCATTTATGGACGGCCCCTTAGTGTTACCCGTGATGTGTGGCGGTACTGTCGCTCATCGTGTGATGTAAGGTCCACGATAATCGTGTCGTCTGTTTTTGCAAAATATCGAGCTGTCTCGAGTCTCGTTGCTCATTTTTCTTCTTCCGTAAACATTTAAGTCCCTGACAATTTTCACAGAGGAGCAAACTCTACAATGAAAGTTACGAATAAATTGCTGTTTATTAAATTAACGGTTTGTGAAACGTGTTGAGTAATTTACAATAGGTTTATTTAATGACGTCATATTAATTCGTGGAATGAATCAGTTTTGTGTAACTGGTACCATGTGCTTTAAATTTGATATCGTATTGTACGGTGAAAAATTGCATCACAGCAGCCCCAGTTTACATCCAATCATGAGCCACCGTGGAACTGGATTCTGTTTTTCGCACACGTACGGTTGTTGGCGCGGACCCTGGTGCAAGAAATGAAATGGGGGGGGGCGTTTCTGCCTTTTCCCCTTTATAGCCCGGATGACTCCTTCGTCCCATGGGCCCCGGTGCAGCTGCACCTCCGGCACGATCGATAGCTGTGCCACTGCCGTGCTTGGCTCATGGGGGGGGGGGGGGGGAGAGAGCAGTACAGCCACGTGCCTCTGCGTCGACGCCGGCGTTGCCCTCGAGCACGGCGCGCACCACCCCGGCGTTCTCGCGTGCGTTCAGTGTGCAGGTGGCGTACACGACGATCCCACCTGGCTTCACGGCCCGCAGCGCCGACCTGCTCGCACGGGTACAAACGCGCGAAGGTAAAAACTGAACCGTGAACGTTTTTTTTATTTTACCAGACCCACTGAGCTACGTAGCTCTTTGTCACAGGAGCGACCTGGCTACCACGAATGATCGCCCAACGAAGTGGTTTGTCACGTGGAAATTTATAGCAGCCAAATACTCTGAACGCACGTTCATTTTAAATGTGGAGGGAAAAATCGGAGGACCCGGAGAAAAATAACCGTGACCACGGGGAGACACGCAAACTCCAAATGTACAAGCACTAGGGTTGGGATCGAACCCACAACACCCTGCATACCAAGCGAGGTAGTTAACATCTCGCCACCGTGGTGCCCCTTAAAGATCCTCCAATGTATTCTTAACAGGTTGTCGTGGCAAATGCTGTTAGCGAGCACCTGTGGAGGCCAACACGGCACATGAGCAGGTGGTGTGGCTGATACCACGCTGGCTGCCTTTGTCTCTCCCATCGCTGATGTATATACAGCGCACCAGATACTCATTTAAGGCTGAGTCCACCTAGGAGAGGCCCTGAACCGGTTCAGAAATTCATCACCTATGTTGGCTGTGAGCAGAAATCGAACTGATCGCTGGGCAAGTGCACTAACCATTATGCCACCTTTCCCCACGACACGTAAATAAGCACACGTACGTCTGTGCTGATCTGCTCGCACGCGTATGCTCACACGTCCGAGAAGTGAGGGTACCCACACTTTACCCCATCACCCACGACCAGTCTATCGACTAACACCGTCGATCGGCAAAATCACAAAAATGTGTAGAAGCATGCTTAAGTGTTCAGACTTAGAGCTGTAGAGTCGTCATCAACTACGATCTTGGGAGTTAGATTTTAACACCTGTGTGAGCCCTGCAAAGCTCAGTCTGCCGACGTTGCACCGCTGATACGCGTGTCCCATTATCGGACGGTGCAGGAAATTCTCAGATGAGCAAACAGGTGACAAACCTCGTGGGCCGTGCCGCTTTGAAACCTCGTCATACCCACGAGCGTAAACGCACGGGGTGGGAACGGGCCTTTGATCCTTACCATCGTAACCCGGGACTGAACCCGCAACCTCTCGAACCCCAGGGAAATTACGCTGGGGGGGGGGGGTGGGGGGGCGGGTTGTCAGACGGAAACTTAAAAAACACAACACAAAGGGACCTCACAACCTGTGGTTGACAGCACTTCCCAGCGACTGGGGAGCGGAGAGAAGTCGGACCGTTTTCAGAACACGCGGGACGAGCCCGCTCTGAAAAGACGGTGCGGCATAAAGAAGAAGGGTGGACGACGAAGGCAGGGGAGGGAAGAAAAAAAAAAAAGAGCAACGCTTACAACTCGCTAACAAATTACCAAACATTCCTTCACTCTTTCAGAGAATTCTGACAGACCGCTGCGGTCAGATTAGTTCCGGATGGGCAGGCGGGCGTCAATAGGTGGTGGGCGGGCTTCGTAGTAAAATTTAGGGCCGAAAAGGATCGGAATTACTCATTGGGCCGCGGAGGGGAGAAAGCGTCGGCGAGAGACGGGGAACAGAGGAGCGACAAAGAGGTGCGGGCGGCGTCGATGCTCACCGTGACGCTATAGTGCGGAGTAAACGCCACTCCGATGAGCTCATGCATCTCGTGGAGTGGAGGGGGGGTACATCGGTCTTGTTTGTATTATATAGGGGGCTCCTTGGCGATTCACAAACAACGTGGGCCGATTAAAGAAAAATGTCAGGAATAAGAACCATTATTGGCCGAATGGGAAAGGAAGAGAGTGGATGTTTGAATAGAGGGGCCTTTCTCGAGACTACATTATTTAAGTGAATTATTTTGCATACGTCTATTTTGTTTATTTCAAAGCGCCAAGTCACAAAGCCACTTTATACTTCACAGATGAGAACGGGCAATGCCAAGATTTTACTCTGCACACGAATGTTGAGGTTTTTTTTTAACCCTCTCCAAGACTTAAAATAGAAAGTTGAGTGCTCACCTCTCTGAAGCTCAGCCAACCTAGGAGTTGACCATGACCAAGTTAAACATCTGCGTGTGAAAATCCTGAAATATCTCGGGCAAAAAGAAACTGGGATCGAACCCAGTAGCGTAGAGGTGGCAGTGTGCCACGCCCCTGTGCCACGCCGTCACGAGGCTGCACACTAAGCCTCTGAGCTCAGGGTCAAAAGTTCGAGCCCCGGTCGTGGCGGCCACGGCAAAACAAAGCGTGGCGTTTTGTCCGGGCAGTGCCGAAAGCGCGGTCCCACGGCTCTCCCCACAAGCCAGGCCACTTAGTGCCAATCAACCAGGGAGGGGGTGGGTAGATTAGCAGCTCATGGGAAAATATATTAATTATTCTTTTCACACCAAGGAGGGCCACGTTTCGAACGAAGCATTGCATAGATTAAGGCACGATGCAATGCAAAAAAACTAAGCTCTTATCTCTTCGAAACACACCTCTAAACCTGTGTATTCCAGGCAGTCCGATGTGAGTTTGAATCTTCGTTCATCAGGGACAAAGACACCTTCTACTTGCTACATTTGAGAACCCAGTTTATTGACAACCCGGCCTATGAGTCTTAGTGAGTCTATGGATGTCTGTGCAAGTTGGGCTGAAAGCATCAACTGGCTATACTTGAGAGCCTGATTTAATCAGGGGAGGCTGAGAAATCAGCCTCAAGCCTACCGCCTCATTGGTGCTCCTGGTTCAGAGCAGAGAACGATAGGATTTGTTTACGTTTCCTATAGAGAGACTCCTCTAATTACAAACGTTCAACTTACAAACTTTCAGAGATACGACCAAACCTCTCCGTATGTCCAGTTGCCTGTTCGGACTGAGAGTCGTAAGTTCAACCGCCGCACAATAGATGGCGGTGGTGACATCTACATCTGCAGAACGTACACCATGTTTTGAATCTACAGGAGTAAAGTTGGATTTACGAACAAATCGACTTATGAACAGACCTGGAACCTAACTCGTTCGTAAGTAGAGGAGTCCCTGTACTTTGCATTCCTATCGTGGTTTTTGTACAGTTTGTTGTTGTAACCTTCCAACCTCCCCTCCTACATGACATCTGTGAAAAAGAGCTTTATACATGTTCATCGGATCCCTCCAGTATAAATACATATCCTGACGATTCTGATGATCACCCATGGGGCGCGCGGCGCCGCAAACGTACCGCAGCAGCTGCGTCTGGAGGCCGGGCAGGTGCGCGCGCTCGCGGACACGCAGCTCGGCAAGCGCCTCGCTGCCGCCGTAGAGCCAGCTACGGTCGTTCGAGCAGGGGGCGTCCACAAGGACCTGCGGCAGGGAGCACAGGCCGACACGTGCGCACGCATAACCACGTTTCATTTCGAACTGCTTTTCGTGCCTGGTTCGTTGTCCTTCACGCCCCCCCCCCCCTCGCCGCGGAAGGAGTTCAAGTCGGGGCCACGGCTGACTTCTCCCACCTTCAGCCTGTCAGAAACACGCACTGTACGTGTATCATCAGCCATCGACAATCAACTGCTGGATGAAGGCCTCCCCAAGCTGCCGTCACCTCTCGTGATCCTGTGAAGTAATAATCCACCCAGCGCCTGCACATGAGCCGATTTCATCGCTCCATCCCATCGGTGGGACGTCCTCTTCAGATGCATTCCATTGCTTGACAGATTTCACTGTATATATCACACGCCTGGCAACTGTTGTTTCTGTTTCTCATTTTTAAATGGTGTTTTACGTTTATTTTTGTACTCGCTGGGTTCCCTGGACTTTTGTTGTTCCTTCGTATATTTATTCCAGGTCTCCATTGCAACAGTGACGTGTTGCCTTCATCTAGGCTACATGAATAGTACGACCCGGTTAGTTCATTTCGTTAAGTAATCTTACTCAAAATTTTAATCGGTTATGTTTTTGTGGTAAATTGTTCAGGCCACTTGAAACATGGTGGTCACCCCAACATCCTGCCTCCCAAAGGCACTAAACCGCCTGTGAGCGAGCCACACAGTGCCAAGTGGCTGATGATGCTGATGATGATGTCACCAAGCCCCAGAGGTCGCAAACGGGTTTTAATTCCTTACCCGTACCCGGCCGCACCAGGGTCGCAAATGGGTACATGTACCCTACCCGATACCTGGCTACCCGTACCCGGCCGGGTATCGGGTAGGGTACCCGATTGCGACCTCTGGGATGAAGCCATGTTGCAGGCGCGGGTGGGTTGATTCTAGGAACTTGAATTATGAGAAGAGACGAGACATAGGGAAATGAGTGACAAACGGTGACTCACCAGTGACTCATGGCCTACCCGTACCCGTACCCGGCCGCACCAGGGTCGCAAACGGGTACCCGTACCCGTACCCGGCCGGGTATGGGTAGCCGGGTATCGGGTAGGGTACGGGTATCGGGTACCCGGTTGCGACCTCTGCCAAGCCCTGGCCCCATTACCTTCCTTCCAGCGCCACACATGGGAACAGGCGAGACTTTTCGCCCCATTTTTTGCTTTATCCGAATTGTCGAGCAATCGACCGGATAATTGTCAATCGTTTACTCATGCAAACGAATCGCATAGCTCTAAATGTGTCAATCACCATAAACGTGACATCAACAGCCCCCTGGGAATAAAACCTAAGTGTTTCCCCGGGTCAATATGAGTGACCTTTGGCCGAGGTTACGGTACATTAAAAACACAAAGCCCACCGTCATTACGTGACAAAAAAAAAAGTCCCGTTGCGTCATTTGGCCTCTGTTCGGTTCAACAGCAGGGACGCGCTTCAAAGTGGGCAGCATTAAACGGTGCACGCGGGATATGGCGGCGGGGCGAACGGCGGATCAAAGAACTTAGCCGGCAACGCTGGGAACCTGGGTTCGAATCGGGGTTTTAGCCTGCCTGCGATTAAAGCGACGGCCTCAGCCCCAGTCACACGTGGCTAAACAAAACCCCCGTCACATCAAATACGCTTTTCTCCCCCCTTAATTATGGTTATTCCAGCACTCAAAATTAAACATTTTGGTTTCAACGACGTTGATAAATACTCCTTGCAGAGATTATAAAATGTGTGCCCACTTGGGCGGAAGACGACGCCTCGTGAAGGAACTCGGTCAACCCGAGCTGCGTCCCCCGTGACACAAGGCGGGTTTAATGCTCGCTGAAAGAGCCCAGAAACTGAACTTTCTTCATCCCCCCCCACCACAGCCCCCCCTCAACAACATCGCCAACAGCGCTGGTGAACCGGTGCGTATAGATGTAGTGCACAGGAGGTGCACAGTATGATATTAAATGATGACGATGATATTCTGTGGTTCTTTCGGTAAAGTACACCTGATGACGGAAGCTTGTGTTGCCTCCGAAACGTCGTGATTTAATTTAGTTATTTTCATTTTATTATTTTTATCATTATTTTTCTTTTTCATCTACGTGACTTTACCGAAAGAACCAAAGAGTATGGATCCTTGCAGTCACGAAAACTTCAAATCTAGATGATGATGATGATGGCTACAATGAGCAAAACGGACGACTCGGGATGAATAGTTGTGACTCCTGCTAAGGACGACTACTACGCCCAGCCAGCCCCGAGCGTCCCTGGACCCCACGCTCCTGCCAGCCGGGCCCTGGCAACCGCAGCAGGGATCTCCCGTAAATCCTCACAGGCCCCTTTGCCTGCCAAAACCTCGTGAAAACACCCATCACCACTCGCCCACCGCCCCCCCCCCCCCAACTCTGACTCCCCCCAGTCAGCCTCCCAGCCCCCCCCCTCCCCCGCTGTGATGAATGTATATGAGCCCAACGTGGTCCATACTGGATGAAAGTGTGCGAGTGTGAGTGTGCACTTGCACATGTGTGTCCGTGTGATTTTGCCTATGACGGGAAGCTTTGGAAAGTTAATCATGTGCACGTACGGAACTTATTATGTCAATCCATGGCTGGATGAGGACCTCCCCACACCGGGCGGGGGTTGTGTTTACCATAAGCCAACACACGCTGGTCAGTGCGGGTTGAAAGCAAGGGCATGCAGATGTGAGGGTATCGAAAATACGGTACCTTAGAAAGCTTTCTAAAACAAACAGATGCGCAATCACGCACAGTGTGGAATCAAGACTCGTATCGTCCTTTGGTCTTTATCCACTGCTATCCGCACGGTTTCTGCACCATGGAGCCCAGAGGTTGCAACCGGGTACCCGATACCCGTACCCTACCCGATACCCGGCTACCCGTACCCGGCCGGGTACGGGTACCCGTTTGCGACCCTGGTGCGGCCGGGTACGGGTAGACCGTGAGTCACTGGTGAGTAACTGTTTGTCACTCATTTCCCAACGTCTTGTCTCTTCTCACAATTCAAGTTCCTAGAATCAACCCACCCGCGCCTGCAAAACGGCTTCATCCCAGAGGTCGCAATCAGGTACCCAATACCCGGCCGGGTACGGGTAGGGTACGGCCGGGTATGGGTACGGGTACCCGTTTGCAACCCTGGTGCGGCAGGGTACGGGTACGGGTAAGGAATCAAAACCCGTTTGCAACCTCTGATGGGAGCCCCAGCTGTGTGCCAGAGCTGGTTCTGTCCCCCTGGGTGGGCCCCGTACAGACGGCATTTCGTGAAACGTGGGGTGCCGAAACGCAACATACGGCTCGGAGCGCCGGACGGGGGTCGAACAGAGGCATCCCAGCGATCACTGTCACTGCTCAAGGCAAAGTGGTGCCGAGATGTTTCCTTACCGCGCAGGGGCTGAGTGTGCAGACAAATGAGATGTAAATATGTCACACTGACGAGTGGTTACGGTACGGCCTTTGCAACTGATAATTGTCACGGTTCATGGGTACACCTTTGCCTGTACCAAAATATAACTTATTCTCATATGTTGGTACTGGCAAAGGAGGTCCCATGATGTAGCTGCTCACCCCGAGCCCTCATTACTCTGATGGTGGCATTGTCTTTGTGCTGTTCGCCTTTTGGCGTCCTCTGGTCTAACACCGTTTGAGACGAGGCTCGAAAGAAAGCTGTCTCTGGTGTGGACCAATCAGTTTTAAAGACAATGCATTTATTGCAGAGTATGTTTTTTGTTTGCATTCTGACCACAAGTATATGTGGATAATGCAGACATGATCCCTTGTAAAAGGTTTCAGTTTGGTGTTTTAACATCTTAACACCTGTTTTGTTGCGAGAAAAAAAGGGGAAAACCTCTTCTCATATTTTAACGGTTCTTTATTTAGCTAGGAAAGTCTCTGCTGAGTTTCTTGTGCTGTGTTTTTTGTCCGAATTATTGTTAAATGATCAGTCCTTCATCCAGATTTACATGTCAAAGATTCTTCTTTGGTGTTATCTTAATCGGTTTTTTTGCCTGTTAAATAAATAATGGATGTTGAAATTTATGAATGAAATTCTCACCTAGTCTTCTACACCACTGTCTGTCTGGTCTGTCTGCTTATTTAATAACAGCCCTTCGTGCAGGAAAGTCTCGCAGAGGCTCTTCCACTGGTGTATTTGTCTCATTGCTTGCTTGCTTTACAGCAATAACAGCCCTTTTTCAGAGAAGTCTCAGAGACGAGTCTCCGGCACCACTGTGTCTGTCTACTGCGTGTCTGAATAACAGCCCTTCGTGCAGCAAAATCTGGCAGAGGCCCTTTTGCACCGGTGTATTTGTCCGACGTCTTGCTTACGTTACAACAGGGACATTGCTCTATCGATCTACGGGGAGCCCCATGTCCGTTCAAACCGCTTGTGAGTGGCGAGTCGCTTAGCGCCTCACCTTGTCGTAGGACGCGGGCTGCAGGGCGCCCAGCTCGCAGCCGTCCCGCGCCGACACGGCGACGAGCGAGCGCAGCGCTGAGCGCGGCACGAACGACTCCAGCGCCAGCAGCAGACGCCGCCGCCGCAACTCGTCCGGCTCGTTGGCGCACAGCAAGCCTGCGGGTGGATCGCGATTGCAGCGGCATCGTTAGCTGACGGGCAACGGGTAGGGGAGGCGTTCATCCAGCGGTGGATTGTACTGTATGTTGAATTTCTTTCGTACCGTGCGTAGACAATCGTGCTAATCGAAGGTGCGGGGGAAGGACGGCAAAAATAAGTTCTAAACAAATTAGTTTTCAATATAAAATGGATCGATCGGGGCTGCTGATGGTGTTAGCTAAATTACAATTACATTGTTGATTGCAGTTCATGATGGATTACACACGTAGAATAGTAATTGATCCCAGGTCTGGTGCAAGGCAGGACTGCGGGCCATCAGTCACTTCTTCTTCATCTCGCTCGTCAATAAGCCGTGATGTTGCTTTGTTATTTTCTTACGCTCTTACGTGCGTTTTTTAAGTTTATTTTGTCGACATATATTTCTACCTATCAACTTTAATGTTCGTGTTATTTCATTTGTGTATTCTGTGTGTTGATATTTGCATTGTGTTTTGCACTCCGGGTTCACTTGCATAAGAGTATTTTGTGTATGTGGGCTCTCACCCAGTTATGAATAAAGTCCATGTCCTGTATGTACTATTCTACATATGTTTGCAAACTTTTTGAGTGTCGTGGGATTGTGTAATAACACGACAGGAAGGTGCATCCGAGTGCGATTTCATATGTAACGCTAAAAAGTCAGACCATAAAGTTTATCCCTTCGGAGAATTAGAATTAATTTTTTTTTAATGTCATTTAAGTACTGTAATTATATTACTCATTTTGCACTAACAGTACAAAAACGTATCTCAATGATAGGAAGAGAAAAAAAATCTGCATACAACGCCATCAATGGTTTATTTAAACCATTGTTAAAGCACATGCTGTGATCCATTCGCCACACATACGGAATTAAACCTCAAGGATTGCCCCTGGGACTCACGTTTTTTTTCTCACAATTTTGAGTGGGTTCTACACATGCGGGCCATGCAATGGATTCTCATGTGCGTGGTTGTTGTTTCACCGAGAGTAATTCACTCAGCCCTACCGATGGCAATGTCTCACCGCCAGGTGCTGCCCGCTGGCTCAGACCGCACGTAAGCTCCTCCACTGTTGTCTTCACTCACGGCCTTTGAGACACAAGCTGGAAACTAACCCCATCTACACCATTGGAACCTCATTTGCCAGTAAAAAATATGATTATTGTTTTTTTACCTTTCTATCTGGCACCAAAACTGACAACTTTTTTTTATAAGGAGTCATGTTTGCATGGACCACAATACCTGCAGTCATAATGCAAACAAAAAACATAACTCTGATAATGGATGCACTGTCCTTGAAGTTGATTGGTCTACACCCGAGACAGCTTTCCTTAGAGCCTAGTCTTACATGGGTTGGACCAGATGACGCCTTTTGCATCCATTATCAGAGTTATGTTTTTTGTTTGCATTATGCCTGCAGGTATTGCGGTCTATGCAAAAATGACTCCTTATAAAAAAGGTGTCAGTTTTGTTGCCAGATAGAAGGGTAAAAAACCAATTATTATAACCCCATCTAGCCAAGGTTATTATTCATTCATTTACTGTGGCTTCAACAAGTTGTGGAGTACATTAGCCTTTTGCTGCTACGCAAACTCATTTAGTAACCCCCGTTTTTCTCCATAATGCTCGCCCTTGCTTGCTTCGTGCCAGTGAAATGTTTGTGCCTCGATTTCCTGGGTTTATCTATCAGTTTCTTGGGTCTACGTATCAGTATCTCGGTTATTTTTCCCAATGTTTTTCAGTCGAGGTCTCACCGGTTTGAACCCTTTGGGGTTGACCCGTATCTATTAGCTCACCACCCTCGTTGTCTGTAAAATAAAGAGCGCCGCTCTAACCGTGGTCATTCTGCCACCCAGTGGCAAATATTTGAGTTGAGCTCTTCAGGAAGGTGGCCGTGAAGACTCGAGGATTCACCCAGTTGGTCATTAAAATAAGTTCTTACGCTCATTCTAGATTTGAAGCTTTCGTGACTGCAAGGATTCATATTCTTAGGTTTTTTCGGTAAAGTCACGTAGGTAAAAAATTTAAATTAATAAAAGTAAAATAAAAATAAAATAAAATCACGACGTTTCGGAGGCAACACAAGCTTCCGTCTTCAGGTGGAACCGTCACAGCACGATTGCTGTATAAAGTAAGAGAAATTCCAAGAAAACCGTCCTTGTATATAGTGGGCCTTACCTGGTAAATATGAAATATTTTAGTTTAGTTTTTTTTAATACCTCAGTGGGCTTTGCCTGGTGGGATTGGGATGGTGATGTATTTACCTTTCTTGTACTTTGCACTGCTTTGGTTTTTTGCATTCTTTGTTTTTTGTAATGTTCTTACCCGCCCCTACTGGACATCTGCGAAAAAGAGCTTTGTAGCTAATCGGATTTCTCCAGTATGAATACAATATTCTGATTCTGAAATCACCCGGCACCTCACTTGGCTGCGCGCACTGCAGGATGCCGAGGGTTTTGCCCCCGGGAGCAGCACACATGTCGAGCACCCGCTCCCCGCTCCGCACATCCAGCGCCAGCACGGGTAACAGCGAGGCGGCGTTGAGGACGTAGAACGCCTTGAGGCGGCCCGGCTCGTGCCGGAGCTTCGGGAAGGGCCTGCCGGCCTGCGCCAAGAAGCACCACAATCCGGCGACGCCAGCGGACCGGCCGTCGTCGAGAGATCTGAGCGGCCACTCAGGTCCATGCGAACCGGCGGGGAAGGTGTCGCGGAAGTGCTCCGCCAAGCCTTCTCGAGTCTCCCTGCGCAGGATGCCCGTGGCTGACAGATACACCGCCTCTTTGAAAGCGTGGTCGCGCGGCGGGCACCGCCTCGCGATCCTATCTGCACACCGTTCGATTTCATTCGTCTCGCTCCGATCACTGGAGGTTGTGTGGATGTCGTCGCAATCTCTCGGACCGTCTGGCATTTGCGCTAGTCTGTCGCAGGAGCCAGACGCCCAGGTGTCCCCATTACAGTTCGCGTGCAGGTGTGGAGAATCACTGACCGTGATGTCTTTGGTAGTAACGTTCCCATTGCAGTCTGACCAACTGCCGTCAGCGAGTTTGCAGGAGGGCGCATTGTCACAATCGTGGGATGGAAAGGCGCTGTGCTGTGTGTGACGTGCCTCCTCCTCCTCGGCCAGCTGCTGTGAGTGATGCTGAGGGCAGGACTGCTCTCTCCTTTGCTGCATCGCAAACAGGTTGGGCAAAGCGGCATACTGCCACTTGTTGGGTGCAAGCATCACTGCCCTGTTCACGGCCACACAGCGCAAGAACACAGCCATGAAGGAGCATTAACAATGACATCATTCTCATCAGCTAAGATCAATCCACTGGAGAAAGGCCTTCCAAGCTGCCACCATCATCTACTCACGATCCTACGATGCAACAATCCGCCTAGGACCTACATAAAAGCTGATTTCATCGTTCCATCTAAAACACCCACACTAATTTGTGCCATTCCTGTACATACTGCTCACATTATAGACTAAAATAACGGCCTATAATGGGGTCTCCTAACAATTGACTAAAACACTGGTGCCTGCTGGAGTCGAAAGACGCTGTCGTCATTAAATCCACATCGGAAACCAGACTGGTTTATAATGGGGCCTCTATATTCAAAAGATGACAGAATAGTTGTCGACACAATCTCGACTGCGCTCGCAGTCAATTACTGGTATTTAAACAACAAAGACATTATTTTGCCATTCTCATTAACGTGACCACCTCTTTAACAACCAGCAGAGAAAAACACACCGATTGAACACAAGGCAAACCTGCCCATTCAGCTCACAGTATATACGGATGGTAAACCAGTCTCTGATCGGGTCTCTAGACAAAACTGTATACGGGCACATCTTCTTGGTTCTTTCGGTGAAGTCACGTAGAAGGGAAATAATAAAATAATAAAAAGACAACATAATTTAATGTTTTATTTTTATTATTTTATTATTTCCCTTCTACGTGACTTTACCGAAAGAACCAAGAAGATGAATCCCTGCAGTCACGAATGCTTTAAATCGAAATGTATACGGACAGATTGTTAAGTCTGTGGTGCCGGAGTTATTCTGTGGGTGCAGTGTTAGTTTAAGAGTCCACTGTTATTCTTATCAGCACCATTGTCTGGTCCAGTCTCGAAAAAAGACTGACGGGTGATCACTGATACAATCTCTGACTTCTATTTAAATACCTCCCCCCTCCCCCCACAACCTCTTCCTCGTCATCCATCCCTTCAAAATCACTCAAACAAACTCGACCCAAACCCGCACACAACCGCACCTGAACTTCAACCAACGCTGTCCAAACCAGCTCTCCGTACTCCGCGTCAAAGTGCTCCAGCACTGCCCGGCACACCGTGCGGCCGGCCGGGACTCTCCGCCCGCCACCGGCGACCTCGAGAGGCCGGTCCCCTGTCTCCCCTGCCCGGCACGAACAAAGTTTGCCGGGAGGCATACCCGCAAAAGCCGAGTCGGTAGTGTCAGCGTGGTCCGGCCCAGAGGTGAGCACATGGCTAAACCACGTGTGAACCTTTCAGCTGTCAGCTGGTGAACCCTGACCCCCTCGTGACGTCACGGGGGGGAGGGGTCACGGGTCACGCTATCACCGCCCCCTCCCTCCCCCCACCTCTGGCGTGCCGTTTGAGTTTTAAACAGCCGTAACAAGCCCTGTGGAGAGAGTTGATTGCCGTCGGGAAATTATATTTGAACCGATTCAAAGTGATTCCGCCGCCACAGCTGCGCGCATGGGGGGCAAGAACAAGCAGCGGACAAAGGGGAACGTACGGGTGAGCGTGTGGGGAGATTCGTAGCGGCGAGGGAGGGGGGGGGGGACCGCGGGGTCTAGGCCCGAGCCTCGGTCTTGCCTGGATGTTGTACCGAATATGGGCGAGGGAAAAGCCGTCGGATATGACACGAATGTCGGGGTGTGTGTGTGAGGGTAATTTGTAGGGGCTGTTCGCGTATCGCGTTGTTGTTGAGAGTCGCTGTCGATGTGGTGGCGATGGGAGGGGTTGCCGGTTGTGGTCCTGAATTTTGGGTAAAGTGGGACACGTGGGGACCGGGAGAGAGTCTGAAGGACTGGGGGAGACACGGACTCAACTCACAAGCAGAGAGATGGACAGAAACAGACACGGAGAGAGACATACGTAGAGCGATGTACCCAGACACAGAGGTACAATGATAGACACGGAGAAAGACGCGCACAGACCGTCAAAATAATAACGGGCTGAGAGATGTTCAAGAGATACGGGAGACTCAGAAACATGGAAACTTAGAGACATAGAGACAGATGCAGACAAACGGTGTTAGACCAGAGGACGCAAAAAGTCGTACAGCACAAAGACAATGCACTATCAGACTAATGAGAGCTCGGGTTGAGCATCTACATCATGGGACCTCCTTTGCCAGTACCAAAATATGAGAATAGGTTTTCCACTTTTTTCTGGCAACAAAACAGATGTTAAGATGTTAAAACGCCAAACTGAAACCTTTTACAAGGAATCATGTCTGCATTAACCACAATACTTGTGATCAGAATGGAAAAAAACATACTCTGATAATATATACATTGTCTTTGAAACTGATTGGTCCACACCAGAGACAGCTTTCTTTCGAGCCTAGTCTCAAACAGATGCAGACATTGATGCAGACATGATTCCTTGTAAAAGGTTTCAGTTTGGTGTTTTAACATCTTAACACTTTTTTGTTGCCAGAAAAAAGGGGAAACCCTATCCTCATATCTTGGTACTGGCAAAGGAGGTCCCATGATTATTGACAACTGTTCTTGTTTGCCGTTTGCGAACTCTTGTGTACTATTCTTTTTAAAGGGATCCCGGTGGTTATACTGCACTTCAAAAATGCGCCTGCAGACTTCAGTCTTGCTCTGATCAACTGAACACGTTCACGTGATTTAAACACCTAGCCCGCGGTTTCTTGTGAAGCATTCATCTTCACATCGAACAGAAAGCGATCTGTAAATGTATAATAATATTGTAATCAATAGTTCGTCACTGTTTTATTGTGACTTACGTGTGTATTGTTATTACGTAACATACGCTATGCACGTTATTGTATAAACATATACACGTGTGATTGTCTGAGCTGGTTTCCTTTCCTGTGGGCCACAGAGGAATCTCACAGTTAAAATTGGTACATTTTTACTATGTCTGCCCATATCGTAGGGTCTTTAAAGTGCAATTTAAATGACTTCGCAAGCGTTGTTTTCCCCCAGCTGCAGAATCATGTTACGCAATGCAGGCTAACACGGTGATAAGCATGTAATGATTACTTAACGACAGATCCTTAAACTCACAATACACTTATTAATTTAAGCATGTTAGAATCGATTTCTTGATTTTTATGCAGATTTTATCTTTAGGCTAAGGGAATGAATGAGAGATCCTAGATTTGTACCCTGAACCTCAGCAGTGCCACCTCAGGTGCTCCAACCGCTCTGAGCTGTCGCACTGAGATCACGACGGCTGACTGCACAGTATTGACCGGTTTGCTCAACGCCACGTGCGCCCTTCCTCTTTACAGCCGTCGAGCAGCGCCCGCGCGGCCGAGTTGCTCGCCCGGGATGTCGGCTCCGTGCCGGGATTCCTCGGATTCGGGGGCGCCACCAGCGATATCGTGTTCGGCGCTGCGACCTCTGACCTCCGCGCCGGCGCTCTGACCTCGGAGCTGGGGTTCGTGCCCGCGGTGCAAGGAGCTGAGGACGTGGAGAATGTCGTTGACCCAGACTTCCGCCTCGTGCTGCGCAAGCTCTCCAAGCGAGATACGACCACCAAGCTCAAAGTATGCGAGCCACACAGGGACTGCCCGTATTGGTCTTACTCTCTGTCCGCTTGTGGAGTCTACACGGTTCTGGTTTGAGGGTTTAGACTACACTATGTGTAGGGCTTTGTAATAATGCCTGTAGGGTCTGTGATGCAATTATTGTCTAGTCTACGCAATATTTCCAGTGAAAATTCACATTACTATTTGTGGTGCCATATAGTAAAGATTGTAGGGTCTGATGATTGTAGGGGCTGTATGGTACTGCCTGTTGGGACCATGCAGTATGCTTTATATTTGCCAACCCTACTGATTTAAGTCGTAGGCTGCTACATCCATACATACTGCAAGTATAATGCTTGCATTGTGTACGCGATACTGACAAGGCTCTTAACATAACTGATGATATATCTATTCTTCACTACTTATTGCAGGCCTATATAGTACTTATTTTTCATGATGTCAACAATACCGCTTATAGCATTTGCACAATAATTATTGAGCCTGCTGGTGCTTATTGTAAGCCTATATAGTACTACTTGAATACTGCTTGTAGGTTATGCACATGGCACCTTGTGTGGGGTCCTTATACTACTATATGTTAGTGCTACACAGTTGTGCTTTTAGTGGGTTACCAGTAACATCTGTAGGGGATGCACATTACTGCTTGTAGGTCACCGTCATGCTTTTCGGGTCACAAATTGGGGTGGCGACGTCGCCAAGCGGAAGCGCATTCACCGCTTGTTGCAGAGGTTCGCGGTTCGAATCCAGCGGCCACTCTGGTTATTACTGCGGTTGTAATAACCGTAATAATACTACACTCCGTCTGCTTCATGGTGGATGTTAAAGATATCGTGACGTGATTCACAAGAATAGGCCATTGTGTGCCAGCGTCGGGTGTCCAAGTTGCCATTCTAAAATTAGTCGTAAATTACTCAATTGGGATTCTACATAGCAATCTTCACCCTCTACTGGCAGATTATTGCCCCATTGGCCACTCTTACACAAGAGACTATCCTGGTCTCTGAGTTCTCAGAAAATAAAATGACCTTGAAGCTGTGATGATATTCATTGTTTGGTCTGTATGATACTGATTGCATTATCTGCATGGCTCTTACTGTGGGGCTACAATGTACTCTTGGTGGAGTCTGAGAAACATGGCACGAGAAGAAAGAGTGATGAGTAGGTGTCATGCACAAGCTTCGAGATTGCATCAGATAGATGGTAATGCTTGAAAGTTTAGGATAGGAAGGGCACGTGCTGGGGGGATTTTGCAGGAGTTACTCTATAGGCTGGCGCCGGTGGTACTGCATGCTGTCTCAATGTATGCTCAAAGCACTTGACTTGAGTGCTGTAAGTGAAGGAGTGTTTGTTTTTGTTTGTTTGTTCAGGCCATGCAGGAGTTTGGAGCAATGTGCAAGGAGAAAGATGTTGATGTCGTTAAAGCCATCCTGCCTTACTGGCCTCGCCTCTACAACAAAATCTCCACGGTAAAACTGTCCCGTTGTTTAGTAAATGGAATTTGCAGTTTTTATTAGTGGTTTTTTTCATGCTGTGAAACTGTAGTGCCGTTGGTGTTGGATTGTGGGTTTCTGCAGGGCTACGTTGTCAGCGAAGAGCAATGCAGCAAAATACATGATACTGTGTTCCAATATCTAATCTACGATCTGCCTTTACAAAACCGTACTGACCAGCTTGGTGAATTATGATGAATAACCCCCATAACCTAATGGCTTGGGAAGCAGTGGAATTTAAAAAAAGGCTATAATTTTTTTTTACTCAGCATACAACTATAAAAATAGTTTTTTTAACGTATCTAAGAATGCCTCAAGTGAATCTCAAGACCACTTCTTAGAATACTTCTGCTTGGGATGTTTTTGTCAGAACTTTTTTGGCCGTTTTTCAGGATGGCATGGAACCAGAATGTCTGTAAAAAATCTCACACAAGTCGATAACACTCACACGCTACACAGACTGATTGGCAACCTACTTCATGTTTCAAGTTTCATTTATTAGGTATAGCCCTGTGAGCCATTCGCCTCTTGAATCGGGTGCAACCGCAACAAACAACAAACAAAAACATGAACAAGAAAACATCTTAAAGTGACTATGTGCAAACAGAAAATCCAAGAAAAGACAGCAGAATATTGCAGAAAAAGCACCGTACACTTGCTGTCCCGCATCCTATGGTCACCACCTCGATGTCACTGTTTGTGAGTGATGCATGAATTGATGAATGTTATTGGCACAGTTGTCTTACTTCACTGACGGACGACCAAATTACCTCTTTTTTTTGTCTCCGGCATTGGGCCGAGGCCAATAGACCAGCCGCCCATTTAGTGATAGTCGAATCGATGACCTTGAGTTTATGGCACTTGCCGGGACCGATTTGACCATTCTCTCGGGCACTGACGGGCGTGGATGAAACACCGATTTTTTTGTCTGGCACTCGCAGGACCTGGACCGGCGTGTGCGCGAGGCGGCCCAGGTGGCGATGCAGCAGCTGGCGTCGCGCGTGCGCCGTGCCCTCGCTCCGCACCTCAAGGCCGTGATGGGGACTTGGCTGGTGGCGCAGTGCGACGGCCATGCCCCCGCCGCCTCCGCCGCGCGCGCCGCGTTTAGCGCTGCCTTCCCGCCTGCCAAGCAGCCTGAGGCTCTCGCCTTCTGCAAGGACGAGATCCTGAGCGTACGTGGTGGGGCGGAGCTGGTGGTGGTGGTGGTGATGTGGCCGAGTCCCGGTGGTCGCTCGCTCCGGGACGTTTATAGTTTTTATTGTTCGGCGGAGATGGCCAAGGGCTCGCGGTGGCTATGTTCATCTGATGGACAGAGATGGGGGTGAATTTCGTCCAAATGACATTAATGGGAGTCAATGTAAAGTGGATACAAATTAGCAATCAACCACGTTTTGCATATATTAAATACAAATTGGAAATGTTTTTGAGGTGTGTAATTTAAATACCAATCACAAATTACAAAGTAATTAAATGACATTCAATTTAGATACTGCTAAGCCACTGAGCCAGCTTGGCTGAGATCTTGGGTTCAAGCCCTGGTGTCGTCGTGTCTCTTTCATCATAGCCTTCTCTCATCATAGCCTTCTCTCATCATAGGCTTCTCTCATCATAGCCTTCTCTCATTTGCCCCATAGTGCTGACGCTCATAACGGCTGTGTCAAAGTGATTGAGCCAGCACTGCTTGATATGTGAGGTTCAAGCCCTGGATTGCAGTCCCACTCTCTCATGGGGACTCATAATGGCTGTGTCAATCAATTGCTGAGATCCTGAGTTGGAGTCTTGCTGCTGGGTGTAACTCCATAATGGGCCCGTCAGAATCGTTGACCTTCCTTGTAAGCCTTGGGATTGGGATGTGTCTATTTTGCATGAAGCCTACAAGACCTGTTTCGTCGCAGAGCAAAAGATACTGGGTTTAAACGGTGGTACATTTTTTAAAAATAAGTACAGTGGTAGTCACCTGTAAACTAACTTCGAATAGGCAAAATTTTCACGGATATGCAGAATTCAATAATAAGAAAAATAGCAATCACGACCACTCTCATAACTATGGTTTATTTGATTTTGTAACTGTTAGCGTTTTTTGACTGTTATTATTTTTGTTTGTTTTTACTTGCAGCACCTCCAAGACAATCTTTTCAAGCTAACTCCAGACACGTTAAGTGACCCACAGTGAGTGTTTACCTTTTGCATATTCATGAATGTGATTATACTCTTCATGAATACTACTTTTAACAGACAGAATGCACAAAGAAAGCCAGACAGCTCAAATGTACAGATCTTGTTTTCTTTATATATATGTACATATGTAGGCATACCGTGCGTTTATATATTTGTGAATTAAGTGTATATATTTTTAGAAAATGTATTTATTTGACCATGCTTCACCATGCCCGTCAGTGTACATTTGGAAGAGTGAGTCCAGTACCAGTTCAGATGTAACACACGACTAATGTGAGCCTTGGCCAGGTATCGATTAGAGTCATAAGTCATAGTATCCTCATCAACCATGATCTGCTGGATTAAGGCCACTCCAAGTCGCTGCCTTTCCTCACAGTCGCACATTGCGTTGTGAAATTAACTTACCTTTTGTGTCTGAAGAAGAACTTTCCAATCGTTGCATATTACCCGCTTTGGCACGAGAAATCTCAGCACTGACAAGGAAAATGGAACAAAAGTTGAACATAGGTAATATACAAAACAACAAATAACCGACGCAATTTTGGAGGCACATCAGAGAGCCATACAGCACAAACGTGAAAACCTCCGCCGTAGTGTTCACGGTAGTGTTATTGTTCAGAGCAGTTATGAGGCGAGGCTTTGTGTGTCGTGACACTTGTGCCATGTATGGGCAGCAGTAGTGTTACGGTTAGCGCACTGCACCGACCACAAACCCGTCGACGTGAATTTAATTCCTGCTTGCGACCAATAATAGTGGCGAGTATATGAACTAGTCCTGGATCTCCCCTAGGCCAACACCTTGTGTGAACATCAGCACCGGGGAGACAAAGTTGGCCAGGAGTGGTGTTGGCCACCCACCCTCTCGTGCGCCTTCTGAACCTTTACAGGTGCTCACTAAAAGCACTTTTCCCAACAGTCTGTTCAAGGCTAATCCAGGGGGCATTCTCTTGTGTGCATGTGTGCTGCTCAGGGTGAGCACGGACGAGAAGGAGGCACGTCACATCCGCGTGGTCACCTCCTCGCTGCTCGCTCTCAAGCGGCTGCTGTCGCTGCTGCCCCCCGGCGAGCGTGCCGCACTCACGGACCGCCTGGCCGCCCTGCTCGCCCAGCCCAAGCTGTGGAAGTACAGCAAGCACAGCGCCCCACAGGTAAGCCGTGGCGTGGGCACTTAGGGTGTCGGGATGGCAAAAGCCGTTTCGAATTTAGCAGCCTCCACGACTTAGTAAGTCTGGAAGATTACGTGCCGATGATGTTAGCCATTGTCAGCAATCGAGCTCCAGTTGCTGGGTTCATGGTGCAGGGTCTGAACCCCACTGCACCACCGCTCAATTTATCGCGAGCTCGGTCTTTGTCCAGGATGGTATCATAGAGTCCCATGACTTAAGTCTTTAAGGAGAGTCTCTGCTTTGGGATTGCTTGTCAATTTATTCTTGGTTTCACAAGCGACGATATTACTTTGCGGTCATCTTTGTATGTAACAGGATACAACTCAAATCCATACGGGCAGGTCATCAACCTACTTGCTTGACTGCCATCTCTTGTCCACATCACAGGGCAGTGAGTTGGGCTCATCACAGCACGCAATGCCATTAGTGATGGTCGCCGCACGATTGGGCGACCCGACCATCACAGATGTTAACTGCCTCGCCAGGTATACAGGAGATCGTGGGTTCGATCCCGACCCTTATGTCTGCTGTATATTTGGAGTTGACATGTGTCTTTCCCCATGGTCGCCTCCTTCTCCAGTTTTTCTCTACACATTTAGAAACATGCTTTTAGAATATTTGGCTGCTTTACATTTCCACAAATGACAGCTCAATGTTTCTAAGCTTTCATTTGTGGTCAGGTCGCTTATTAAAAAGAGCTGTATAACTCAGTGGGCTATACATAAAAATAAAAATAGATAGATTAGAATTTTGTAGATCGCGGGTGATTGGCAATCGGGACTGACACTGCTCGTCCTCTGCTCCTCTTCATCCTTCCCCGCGCGGGCAACTCCGCAGGTGCGAGCGGCGCTGTACGAGGCCCTGTCGGCGCTGTGCCGCGCGGAACCCGAGCTGGCGCGCGGGGAGGCGAGGCGGCTGTGCCCCACCGTGCTGCTGGCGCTGGACGAGACGGACCCCGTGGCGTGTGCGCCGCTCTGGGAGGCCGCCCTACTCGCCGCATCCACCATCGAGGTTCCTCTACCCACTCTCCCCGCTTCTTAACGCACGAGCCCTCGCCCGCCTGCCTTGTGTTTTCGTCCGTCTGTGAAATGGGCTCAAGATAACTCTCGTAAGCTTATTCTGTCGTTATTCGCGAGGGGTACGCTCCGGAGATGCTCGTGAATAGGGAATTTCGCGGATGATGATATTGGCCTCTGAAAACTTTTAATGAATACTTAAATAAGCTATTAAATACATGAAAATTACAATAAGACAAATAAAAAAAAGTGTTATTATAAACAAAGTAAATCTCTCTCACCTCTTTCTTGCATCACACTTTCTCTCATCACTTTCTCTCTCTCGATGCAGTCATGTAGAGCTCCAGATGCGATTCACGGATAGTCAAAATTGCGGATAGTGATTTGAATAACACGACGAGGGAATGCTGTCATCTAAATTAATTGACCTGTGTCAGCGTCTGCAGGACTAAATATTTATTGCCTGCTGCACGTATTTTATTTGGTGCTTTTATTACCTGAAATCAACAGAGAAGTTCTACTTCTGTGGGCCTCATGACGTCACAGCTCACGCATCATGTGATGTCATCGCATTGTATGGCTTTGGAAGATTATGTGACTATGGTTCATAGTTGATTTATGGGTTAGGCCAGGTGACGGTTTGACCAAATTATACCATTAAGACCCTCCACCACCCGCCACGGCCACACAGATCAAACCACCACGCGTGCAAGCTTTTAACGCTGCGACTATTATCGATTGAGCTCAGCCCGTAAGCCGCAGAGAACATTCCCACGACCTGAATGTATAGCAATGGTGGTTACGACGTTTGCGTTTGAAACCACGTCAAACACCTTGAGGACGATTCGTTCTGACGCCCCCCCCCCTTCTCTCACTCGTGCGACACAGGACTGTTGGACGCACGTGAGCGCGCGCAAGGGCGTGCTGCCGCGCCTCTGGGCCGTGCTGCGGGAGGGCGGGCGAGGCCTCGCCGCCGTCGTGCATCCGCACCTACTGCCCCTGCTGGGCCTCATGCCGCCCGCCGTCACGGGGCCCCGCGCCCTCTTCTACCCGGTGCTCTTCTGCAGCCTGCGCCAGGGGTGAGGCCTGTGGGTGGCGAGGTGGGGGTGGGGGTGGGGGGAAGAGGCGGGCAGGGAGAGATGGATGAAAGAAAGGAGGCTTGGAGGGAGGTGTGGAGAAAGAGGGGGAAGAATGGAGAGATGGAGGGAGGAATGAAAGGAAGGAGGCATGGAGGGTAGAAGTCATAGAAGGTAGTAAGGTAGGTAGCGAAGGAGTGAGTCATGGAGGGAGGTATGGGAGGCAGGGATGTAAGGGAGGGGGAGGGAGGCATGGGAGGGAGGTAAGGGGAGGGAGGTAAGGGGAGGGAGGTAGGGAAAGGAGGTAGGGAAAGCGAGAGGTAGTAAGGGAGGGAGTGAGGTAGGTAAAGTAGAGCGGAAGTGAGGAATGGAGGGAAGGAGGGAGGGATGTGGGGAAGGGGTAAATGGGAGGAGAGAGGGTACGGTGCTGACAGCGTGCACGTCATGATTGGTTTTGTCTCTGCTGTGATTCTTTGTGATTCGTTGTTATTTTGGGGTTGTGATTCGATTAGATAATTCAGGGTTATTGAGCTGGTAAAATGTGGCCCACAAACGCCCTTGGACTGATCTGCCCAAGCTGTGACCCGCTGAGAGATATGGCTCACCGAGACAAAGAGGTAAGGATTATTGAGGTTGAAGAGAGCTGAAGAAGACTTGGGAGCTGTAAAACAGACATAGATTAGTGAGATAAAACTGAGATAAAAAAGAGAGGGGTGAGAGACCTGGAGTTAAGATCTCAAGATTAGTGATCATATCTTCATAAGTTATGATGTCACGATGCCCAGATAATACGTTACACTACCTGCAATGACCAATTTCCTTATGAAAATATGACACCTACACACATATATACTTTATAAGCAGACAAGAGTTAGTTTCAACCAAAGGTTTATTTTTAGGATGCCTGGGTAATGTGAATAAAATTTTCATCTCATCGTTTAAAGGCATGAACACAATGCGTGCAAGGGCAATAAACCAATGCAGTGCACGCATGTTCGGTTAGGCATGCAATTAAAGTGCAACAGCGTGCAATCCAGAAACTCGAAGGATATTATAGCACAGGGCTATAAAGTGGTGTTAAAGGAAGGCACACAAAAGAAAACAAACAGCGCTCGTAGAACACATTCCTGCGGAGGGAGCTGGTAGGAACGGTGGGTTGCTTGGTCAATGGCCAGGGTCGTGGTGTATTCCGTAAATATGCCCGACTGTGAGGGCGGGCATATTTGTAAGTAGGTTAAACGTTGAGTTTTATAAGGGCACCACGGGGTGACCAGCCCCTCCCCACCCAGCCCCACCCCTCCCACCCCAGCCAGCTCCTCCCCACCCTCTCCACCCAGCCCCTCCCCACCCTCCCCACCTAGCCCCTCCCCACCCTCTCCTCCCCACCCACCCAGCCCCCTCCCTCCCCACCCAGCCCCTCCCTGCACGATGGACACAATAATCCCCTGTGGGCTGGTGTAACCAGGAGGTTCCTACCAGTATAACGCCGAGACTTTTAAGTGCCAGCACGATGTGGGAAGACCCTTGTCTAGCAGTGGATTGACAAAAGGCACTGCACTTGGACCTACACGTACACAATGATGCAGCTGATGATGAGCGTTGTGATTGCGGAACGCACGCTTGTGTTGCAGCCTGGGCAGCGACACAGTGCAGAGCAGCCCCTCGGAGCGAGCCGCCATCGTGAGGGCTTTCACCGATTGCTTCCGCCTGGCGGTGCACGAGAGCGTGAGCGACGGAGAGAGCGGCGAGGAGGAGGGAGAGGAGGGGGAGGTGGCGGAGGTGGAGGGAGAGGCAGGTGGAGGTGGTGGAGGTGCTGCCCTGCGCAAGGCCCTTCTGCATGAGCAGGTGCGTGCAGACACATGGCGACGCTAACGGAACTAAAAAACTTCAAGCTATTTTTATTTAATCGGGTAAAGCCCACTGAGTTATCTTTTTCAGAAGCGACCTGGCCACAAATGAATGCTCAACGAAGTGGCTTATCACAGGCATATTTAAAGCATCCAAATTATCTAAACGCATGATGTTGTTTCTACATGTGGAGGAATACACCAGAGGACCTTGGAGAAAAATCCACACTACCACGGGGAGAACATGCTAACCCAGATATGCAGGTGTCGGATCGGGATTGAACCAACGACCTCCTGTATACCAGGCGAGGGTGATAACAACTCGCCACCATGGCGCAAACGCATGGGGCTATCCCTGTGTTGATGCGTCTGGTTGAATAGCTTTGATCCAGCCATCTTTAACCAGGTGGGAGACAATTCATGAGCGATGCTTTGTTGTTAGCAAGGTGATGCTTGCCTGGCTCGGCGGAGCGGTGGCGCAGTGGTTCCCACATTGTACTGTGAACTCACTCGCTTGAGTTAGATTCCCAGCCACTGCTAACAACAGTGACGAGTCATATCTGACCTAGTCCTTAGTTTCTTCCTTCGGATTGCACTTGTGAGCGTGGTGCAATATGGTATAACGATCCCCCATACTCTTCATCCAGAAGTGGATTGATAAAATCGTTGCATAATATTACAATACCCATTTGCCCGGCTGGTACAGTGGCTTGAAGTTGGAAGGATGCGAGTTCAGTTCCTGGTGAGGGGAAAACTCAGCCATTCGTTATCCTGGGGTTGATAAAATCTATACTATTTTGGGAGTAAGGCAAAATTATTAATCCACAGGAATTTCCGCCACTGGATCATGATTGTAATCCAGGGATCGTCCGCATGTCTGGTCTTTACTCATTGGTTCTATCGGTAAAGTCACATAGGTATCAAATAAAATAAAATAAATTACGACGTTTCGGGTGCAACACAAGCGTCCATCACCTATGTGACTTTACCGAAAGAACCAAAGAGTATGGATTCCTGCAGTCACGAAAGCTTCAAATCATGTCTGGTTTTATTTGTACTGTCCGTGTCAAAGACGTCCTTTTGTCTCTCTTGTTACGGCTCTCTGGTGTTTACCGACCCTATCACTTGTGCAACCTTTTTTCTTGTATGTTTTTTTATTTTATTGACACTGCCGGTCTCGTTCTGTCTCATTCATTCCGACCGACCGTGAGTACCGCGCTGTCTGACCTCAACAAAACATTTACCCTGGAGGTAAATACTGACGTACACGTTGCGTGAATTGAGCGTAAAATCTATTGTCACGCGCACCAAACTACACGGTACTGCGCCGTGTGTTGTTGGGGTTCGTATCGACGCATCGCGGCGGTGGTTTTGACGCCAGGGGGCGGTGTTGCTCCGTGCACCTTCAGCAGCGTCAGTGACACAGCCCTTCTGCCGGAGCCCCCCAGCACAGCCCGCTGTAAGAACAACATTAATTTTTGAATGATAGTCATAATTCACACACCTTCGGCAATTCACTGCTCGATGAAAGAAACCTCCCCACGCCGTGTCGGCCGTGCAGGTTGATCGTACTTCACCACGCCATTGCGGATTGGTGAAGGGGTGGGGGGTGTCCAGAACTAAACTAAACTATTTTTAATTCTACTAGGGTAAGGTCCCTTTGAGCTGTGTAGTTATTTTTCAGCAGCGACCTGGCAACAAATGATAGCTCAACGAAGTGGCTTATCACGTGGACATTTATAGCAGCCAAATACTCCAAATGCACGCTTCTACATGTGAAGGGAAAAACCGGAGGACCTGGAGAAAATTCATACAACCATGGGCAGAACATGCAAACTCCAAACATACAGCAGGCGTCATCAGGGTCGGGATCGAACCCATGACCTCCTGCATACCAGGTAAGGAAGATAACATCTCAGATATCACTTGCCACTTTAAGCAAGTGGTGGAGCAGTGCTTAGCCACACTGTGCTATGAACCCGGCAAGCTCAGTAATAATAATACCATTTATTCACCTTTTACCCAACGTATTCACCTATATCAGCCACTTATTGATAGAGCCTGAATTGCAAAAAATTGCTAAGTGTTGGCAATGACAAATTGACAAATTATTGCTTGGTGCAAAGTCTTGCTGATATTGTTCACAGGATCACAGGGTATTATCGTTTTCCCCACTGAGCAGTGCAGCCAGCTCACAAGGGTGATCTATTGATTGAGACCCAACAAAAGTAAGAGAGAGAATGAAGACAGGAAACTATTTTTAAATCAAAGGCTCTCCTTGTGTCCCACCAATCTCGGCACACCGACCGAGTCTCTTGACCATTCTTCTCCGTGCAACATGGAGCCATTGCTTTCCCGATATTCACTCGCCCGTTGAGAAGACGTTAATCGCGATATGACAAATCAGTGCGGTGTCCGTGTACATAGATCACCCTACATATTTACGTACTCTTTATGGATATTTATTTCAATGTGGAGATATGAGAGAAAGCTGTGCTACGTGTCTTTCCGTCATGACAACACCCAAAGTATACTATGTAGGTGTCGCCAGGGCTACCCAGAGGTTCCTGGAGGCGGCCTGGGGCAGCATGCTACTTGGGGCCCCCTTATTCCGCCATTCCCAGGCTCCTTGTGGGACCCTCTCCTTTACACAAATCCTGGGGTCAAATTGCCCCTTTTGACCACCATTCTGGGCGGTCCTGGGTGTCGCAGCATCGTGATGTGCATTGCAATGCCTGCCTCTGGTTCCCATCACTTGCTCGTCAAGTGTGCATCGCCACAGGTCGGCATGCGTGAGTTCCACTCACTTCTCGTATTTGCTGTCCATTTGGCATGCTCCGTCGCTAATTCGTCCAACCTGCGTCTCGTCCAACAAATTCCAACGACCGGCTCATGTCTGCCGGTACATTTTGTCCTCTCGTCACGTTTCGTTATCCGTAGATTAATGTGCTCGTGTCACTTTAATTGGAGAAACCCAACTCATTCAGAAGGGAGCTTCAAAATGACGCATATTTGCCCCTAATAACCCGCAACGGCGTTGGGCACGAGATGAGTTTATCCTGAGCCCCTACAGGGCAGACGCTGCGATTGAAGTGTGCGATAACGATGGCACGTCTGCTTATTGTTAAACAAGAGCGGTCGGAGCCGCGATGGTGTCCGGCATCTCGGTTACATAACGCCTCTGCTGCCCCGCCACCTCGGTAACCTGACCTCTGCAGACAAACAGACGCTGAGCAGCGTTGGGCCTGGTCAGAGCCTGCACCGGGGACCACCTGGGGTAGCTCAAGCAGCCGTAGGTGTCTCTGGTAGGGATTTTCGTTGCCCTCTTGGCTGTGGCTTGGATAATTAAGCTGTGCACCAGCAGCCTTTCTAGGAATGTGTGTGTGGTGTGGTAGTCATAGACATGTGTACAGACACACGTACACGCTCTACCTAAAAATACATCCACCGACAAAGATTCCATCCCCCTCCCCGCCCCCATATAGCCTAATACAGACTGTTGGGGAAAAATGCTTGTTAGCAAGCAGTGATGAAGGCCAGAATGGCACACTGGAGTTTGATTTTGCTAGCACCACACCCGGCTGCCTTTGTCTCTCCAGTTGTGATGTTTACAGTGTGTCAGTACTCATTTAAGGCTGACTTACATGCATATAGACCGAAATGCACACTTATAAATGCACATACAAGGACACATACTGACAAACAAGTCCACACACATGCAGAGAGATGTGAACTTATAGCACATGCTTGAACCAGACCCACAAACATACACACACAGACACTGATGCAAATATACACAATTCTGCACACACACATTCACAGACGCAGACACACATGCAGATTCACTGATTACACAACAACAACAACCGCCATTCGCCACTAAGTGGCGGTGACGTCACCACGACGCTTGTGCCAGGCCATGTGCACCTTGAGGCCACGTGAAGTGTCGAACGCCCGCTGGCAGGAGGTCACGGGGCAGACCCAGGTGCCACGGGTCGACTGACCGAGATGACCGAGATGACTGGCTGATGCACCACCTGTGCCCCCTACTGTACCAACTTGCTGTGCTTTAGCCACCCGGCGCTCCGCTCGTTGTTGTGAGCGTCGCTCCTCCGCCCTCCGTTGTTGTTGGAGGGCGACTGCCTCCAACTGCCTAGTAGCGTCCTTCATGAGCATCCTCCACTGAGGCCGATCTTGACACCGCTGGTACCAGTCATCGGCAAGTCCACTCAGCTCCACGTCCTCCTGTACCACATCACTCCATCTCTTCTCTAGCCCGTGCCGCGCCCGTTTAGCCCCCTCGATCCGGCCGAACAAAAGCTGTTTAGGCATGCGGTGGCTGGGCATGCGGGCTACATGACCCAGCCAACGCAGCCTTGCCTGCCGGAGGAGCTCACTGATGGGACTTTGCCCAGATCTTTCAAGGACTTGTGAGCTCCTCACACAATCCAGCCTGGTTAAACCCAGGATGGATCGTAGGTAGGCCAGCCTAAATGTTTCCAACCGGAAACATGTTTCCAACCGGAAACATTTAGGCTTTTTACAGATTACACAGACACACTAAGACACACACACACATGCCACCCATAGCCAACTGGAATGGACAATTAATGTAACTCCAAATGCAATACAATTGAACTAAACTTAGAAAATACATCCAAATGTCAAAAACACAACATTCTTTGGTTCTAGAAGGGCTTTTGAGAACAATTTCCAATTTCCATTTGCTCATTATAGTTATAAAATAAAGAGGCAAATGAGAGCATGTTGGAGTACTTTTGCAAAATTGGACATAGCAATGCGCCCCGAGAGGAATGTTTTCAATCGGTAATTTCAACTTGTAACACGCCGCATGGTATTTGCTCACTCTCGAAGAATCGGAATCTTTATTTAGACTGGAGGAATCCGATGAGCAATGAAGATCTTTTTCACAGGAGAGAGAATGACTCTGGAGGCGCGAGGAACCACAGACAATCAGTATGGCAGCAACCAGGCGGT